TTAAAGCTAAAATGTGCCACATCAATGAAGTCTTTTTATTGTCTGCAAAAGAGGTTTATGGGAAAGCAATTGGCAAGAAGGAAATCAATGATACCACAATTATAGATCCTCTTTTATGTATGTTTTAATTTAAGGCTCTTAAGCAAGTTAAATTAAGTAACCAAGTTGGATATTACATGGCCAGATTGCTATGAATTGTCATTGGATTTTGCAATGTTTTATAATTAACTATTATTTTTGTCTTCAAATGACTAACGATGCAAAACTGAAGGCGAATGAAATTTAAATTTGATTTCCATACATCATGTTTGTTATGTAAAATATTCAATAAATTTTAACAAGTGTAATTTAATAATACATAGCATTTCTTCGAGTATAACAATGTATAACAATACATATAACTATATATAACAATATAATATGGATGTCATGACTTGTAACGCAATTAAGGAGTTGCTCGATCTGTGCTCAAAATCCGTTGTACTTTAGCGTTATATAATTCTTTCGTATGAGCTCCGAGCGTGAGTTCAATCTACTAGAACTCTATTAAGTTTATGTACGTCAATACAGTACACTGCAAAGGGTAAAAGATTGATACGCATAAAAAGAACAACTTATTGAATTGTGGAAATTGGTAATATTTGAATAAAATGACACTTTCATGTGAGGTTGTGATCATTTCCTAGTATTTCTTTTGTTGCAGCTTTGAAATTGTTAAAAGAAAATCTGTGTACGTTGAGGTAATGATGACGAAGGCAAAGTTGCTGAATTTTTGTTTATTTTGGCTTAGTTGTGTTGCATTTTTTTCTTGAGACTAAAGATCGTATGTTTTAAGCCACAAGCTTGCATTTATGAATTTCAGTCTTTTAAATACTTCGCCAGATCTGTCTCTTTCAGTCATTTGTTACTTGTTAGGTCAAGATTCCACATTTTCAGTTAATTTCCATTGATTCTATTATTGTAGTGTGCATCATTGGTGTGTATGGAACTCAAAGTATGAATACTGCCGAGGGACTCTACCATGTTTCGTTATTTTAATTGAAACATCCATATTTCTCATGCCTTGCTTTACAAAAGACAATTTTCGCAATTATTTGTGAGTTATCAGTTATCTAGTGATAAGCTTTTCGTCTTGAGAGAAGAATTTTTATCAGATTATTTTTATTTTGATTGCTATTTAAACTACAAATTAAACAAAAATGCAGTAAACCAAGTCATTAATCTCAAAATTATGTCAACAACAACTCGCTCCTAATGCAACTGGTCTTTGCTTGTTGTCAATTAAATTTTTTCATAATTTTTGATTGTTAAGCTCTACCAAAAAAAAATGGCTCAGGAGTCGGGAAGCTATGTACGTTCGGAAGCTTCCAATTTTAGATTGTGAGCATTTTATAAGATTTGATAAAAATTGAATACTTGGTTTATACAGATGTGCCAACTTTTCAATGAGGGTGACATGATGCAGTTAAACCAAAAAAAATCGAATTAAATATCAAAAAATTTATCACACCAGTTTAACTATTGTGAATTACCATACAGTTAGCATGGCACACACACAACTTTTCGAAGCCCTTGCGGTTGAATGTATTGGTTTACATGCAAGTGTTAATTATATATTGCTGGGCTTGTTTTCTTGTTGTACCGACAGAAAATCCCAGAAGAAAAGAGGTGTCTGCTCGAAATATCAAGGTGTATGTAACAACCAAACCTAGTCAATGACAGAAATGTGAAGAAAGCATAATATTTTTCCACCAAGTTGCTATGTCAAAATTGTGTGAATTCTATCATTTGTGGTTTAATTGTTGCTTTATTGCATTTAGTCATATTTTTCATTAAGTTTAATGTCTTCAAGCTTTAATTATCGTATAGAAGTCGTAGTTAACATGAAAAAGTGCATTTTTAATCTTTTAGCATTGTAAGAGTAACTCGTAGCTATTTTTGTGGTGTGTCACAGGCAATATTTACAGTCAGCCAACTTCCAAGGTTGATAACTAACCACAGTTGTATACATTTTGTGGTGTGTCACAGGCAATATTTACTGTCAGCCAACTTCCAAGGTTGATAGCTAACCACAGTTGCATACACTTTGTGGTGTGTCACAGGCAATATTTACAGTCAGCCAACTTCCAAGGTTGATAACTAACCACAGTTGCATACACTTTGTGGTGTGTCACAGGCAATATTTACTGTCAGCCAACTTCCAAAGTTGATAACTAACCACAGTTGCATACACTTTGTGGTGTGTCACAGGCAATACTTACTTTCAGCCAACTTCCAAGGTTTAGAGCTAACCACAGTTGCATACACTTTGTGGTGTGTCACAGGCAATATTTACAGTCAGCCAACTTCCAAGGTTGATAGCTAACCACAGTTGCATACACTTTGTGGTGTGTCACAGGCAATACTTACTGTCATCCAACTTCCAACGTTGATAACTAACCACAGTTGCATACACTTTGTGGTGTGTCACAGGCAATATTTACAGTCAGCCAACTTCCAAGGTTGATAACTAACCACAGTTGCATACACTTTGTGGTGTGTCACAGGCAATATTTACTGTCAGCCAACTTCCAAGGTTGATAGCTAACCACAGTTGCATACACTTTGTGGTGTGTCACAGGCAATACTTACTGTCAGCCAACTTCCAAGGTTGATAGCTAACCACAGTTGCAAACACGTTGTGGTGTGTCACAGGCAATACTTACTGTCAGCCAACTTCCAAGGTTGATAGCTAACCACAGTTGCATACACTTTGTGATGTGTGACAGGCAATACTTACTGTCAGCCAACTTCCAAGGTTGATAGCTAACCACAGTTGCATACACTTTGTGGTGTGTGACAGGCAATATTTACAGTCAGCCAACTTCCAAGGTTGATAGCTAACCACAGTTGCATACACTTTGTGGTGTGTCACAGGCAATACTTACTGTCAGCCAACTTCCAAGGTTGATAGCTAACCACAGTTGCATACACTTTGTAGTGTGTCACAGGCAATATTTACAATCAGCCAACTTCCAAGGTTGATAGCTAACCACAGTTGCATACACTTTGTGGTGTGTGACAGGCAATACTTACTGTCAGCCAACTTCCAAGGTTGATAGCTAACCACAGTTGCATACACTTTGTGGTGTGTCACAGGCAATACTTACTGTCAGCCAACTTTCAAGGTTGATAACTAACCACAGTTGCATACACTTTGTAGTGTGTCACAGGCAATATTTACAGTCAGCCAACTTCCAAGGTTGATAGCTAACCACAGTTGCATACACTTTGTGGTGTGTCACAGGCAATACTTACTGTCAGCCAACTTCCAAGGTTGATAGCTAACCACAGTTGCATACACTTTGTGGTGTGTCACAGGCAATACTTACTGTCAGCCAACTTTCAAGGTTGATAACTAACCACAGTTGCATACACTTTGTAGTGTGTCACAGGCAATATTTACAGTCAGCCAACTTCCAAGGTTGATAGCTAACCACAGTTGCATACACTTTGTGGTGTGTCACAGGCAATACTTACTGTCAGCCAACTTCCAAGGTTGATAGCTAACCACAGTTGCATACACTTTGTAGTGTGTCACAGGCAATATTTACAATCAGCCAACTTCAAGGTTGATAGCTAACCACAGTTGCATACACTTTGTGGTGTGTCACAGGCAATACTTACTGTCAGCCAACTTCCAAGGTTGATAGCTAACCACAGTTGCATACACTTTGTGGTGTGTCACAGGCAATACTTACTGTCAGCCAACTTCCAAGGTTGATAACTAACCACAGTTGCATACACTTTGTGGTGTGTCACAGGCAATACTTACTGTCAGCCAACTTCCAAGGTTGATAGCTAACCACAGTTGCAAACACTTTGTGGTGTGTCACAGGCAATACTTAGTGTCAGCCAACTTCCAAGGTTGATAGCTAACCACAGTTGCATACACTTTGTAGTGTGTCACAGGCAATATTTACAGTCAGCCAACTTTCAAGGTTGATAACTAACCACAGTTGCATACACTTTGGGGTGTGTCACAGGCAATACTTACTGTCAGCCAACTTCCAAGGTTGATAACTAACCACAGTTGCATACACTTTGTGGTGTGTCACAGGCAATATTTACTGTCAGCCAACTTCCAAGGTTGATAGCTAACTACAGTTGCATACACTTTGTGGTGTGTCACAGGCAATGTTTACAGTCAGCCAACTTCCAAGGTTGATAACTAACCACAGTTGCATACACTTTTTTATTTAATTTGAACAATAGCATTTTGACCATAGTCTCTTATTGCTAAATTCCGCCCTAAATTTTCATCGTCTTTTTTCTTTGATTTTTTTTTCAGACAGAAGTAAAAAAGATGAAGAAATTAAAGTTATTGCAACACTTGAAAACAAGAGAATTAGTTCTTACAGTTCAACGCAATATCTCTATCGGTTGGTAAATATGCAAAAGTGCACTACCTTCAACCTCTTGTGTGCATTAATTATAGTCGTAGAGCATCTAGCAAATCAATGTAATGTTTGTTATATACTTCGTCATAAAAGTTGAAAATTTTAAGAACATGTACATCTTTCTATTTCAAGCTGGAGAAAATTATTAAAGCGAGTCGTATAGGGTAGCCGTAAGTATGTTTATAAAAGTAAGGCGTTTTAAAGAAAATTCCTATGCTCCACTGTTATTTGGTTATCACAACATTACCGTACACTAAACATGGTTACTCTGGGTCATTTGATGTCTTCCACGTATATTTAAGGATATATTTCTGGAAAAAGATTGGAGAAGTGTTTTAAGTCGCTCTGTTTGTGATTTTTTCTTTAAAGCTCAAGGAAAGGTGAACGAGTTTATGTGTAAATTGTTGGTTATTGACAATTGTTTGTTGGTGCTTGTTTGGTTGAGAAGTTTAAAGTTACTCTAATGAACAGTTGCTATTATAGATTCGTCTCACAAAAGTGCATCTACGCAGATCAAATCAACTATCGTCATTCATTTTAAGGTCACGAAGGCATTCCTTCAGTAATTGCAACAGGATTTGGTTATCTGTCATGATCTCTGATTTTTTTCTGTTGTGGAAAATGAAGGTTTGTGTTTGTTTGAAATGATCGATTAATATTGCTTATTTATTTTTATTTTGAACCCATTGTCTCTAATTGAAAGAGATTGATTGCCAGTCTTGATTCCAAGAATACAGCATATATTGCAAGGAAATGTTATCATTCAACGTTTCCAGAAACTGTGTTACTTCCTTTGATTAAACTTAATTTTGTATTCATGCAGGCTTTATAAATGTCATCTCTAAATCTTCGTCTTACTTAAAATGCTGCTACATGTTACATTTTTCATGTTGCATGAGGCATTGTATCATATCTACAATGAACATTACAAGAAATGTACATTCGTTCTAGATTTGACAACAATTCTAGTGATTATTTCCAAAATTGCTTATAACTTGCGACTTGTATCGTGAGCGTTTTGTTTTGGAGACTTTCTATATGTGATCTCCCCAGTGGATCTATCTTTTCTCACTGCCTCGTTCTTCGGTTTTTGCCTGTCTCGACAATACTCGACCTAAACCATCATAAACAAAATTAAATTCATAGCCGCGTAAATTACCTTTTTGCAACAGCTGTTTTAATAATGGTTTTTCAAAACAGGCAGCGTCACAAATAGCACCTGGTATGACAGCGCTTTTTTGTTAAACTGCTGCACTTTTCTCTCCACAGGATCTTAGTTCTTATGTGACGACTGATTCCTAATCTATCTGCTAAAGACTGTCTCTCACAAAGATAGACGTCTTCAGATTCTGTTTTCATAAGTTGTTGAAACATGTCTAAAACTTGATCAATTTGTTTTTGAAACTGTCAGAAATGACGCATCGATTTTTAAGACTGACATAAAGAGAGAAAACTGCGTATCAGTTTTTAATTTAAATGCTAATGATTGAAATTTCTAAATAAACATGGCAATTTATTAAACGTTTCTATTTCAGGGAATTCCATTGATAGACGACCGTCGTCATGGATTTACCTGCAAACGTTTGTACATAATTCCCGACACTCGCTAAGTTACATCATTTGGCAGGAACACGTTTCACAACGAAGACAAATTTAAAAAGTAAGTTTTATCAATAAATATTGACTTAAGAATTATAAGATATACAAAATACTCTAGTTTAACTTTAGAGACATAGTTAAAGTATGAAATGCTCAAGATTTAGAATAAGTCTTTCTTATTTTCTCCGCCAAGTGTTTATTCGTTTTTTTATTTAAAATGACAAAACAGACGATACATGAACAATTTTATTCATATGGCTTTGAATTAGTCATTGGAAATGTATTGCATTCCCAGAATTTTCTTAACATGAACATCGTCCATCAAAAAGGGCATTTTCACAACTTTAAGCCGCCATAAAAATGGAATAATTTGATCAAATCAAAAACTTTTTTACTGATATACGAGAAATCGCACTTAAATTTAATATCGCAAATAATATATAGACCGTAGATGTAAAATTTGTTTATGTAGCACATAAAAATCGTGAAATCACATGTAAGCCACTGTCAAACATGAATAGCCAGGCGTTGTGTATAGTATGATGTCGTTTTATATGCAAACACGAAAAATACAATTATTTCTCAATTGATATAAATTATTTGAAAGAATCCAAACAATTCATTTTATTTAAAACTGTAAAACTACATGTGTGGTGTCTCAAACATGATGAGTATTGTATAGGGCCATTTGTGCTAAAGACGAGAGGCATGAATAACCAATTAAAGAAAACGGGGCTGTTTAATTAAAAAAGTGTTTATTTAAAATTTTTTTTCCTTTTTTTGGTTACATATGGTTACAAATGAATTGGTTACATACAAACCTTTTTTGACAAAATGAGACAACATTACTCGTTATCAATAATTGGTTTACTAGTTCAATGCATTATCTCTATCGGTTGGTAAATATGCAAAAGTGCACTACCTTCAGCCTCTTGAAGTATGGGTTTTTCTGATGTGGTGACGCTTCATATTATCATCGACTACTAGCCTAAAACTGGGAATATAACACCCCTCACACACACACAAACCTCGTATGCTTTTTTACACTTAACTTGAACTACATTGACTCTTAATTCATGTAGTTCCCTAGACAAATCACGTTTTTTCAGGGAAGGGTTTTTGTGTCAGTGCAGCAAATGTGTTAGTCAATTGGTTAATGATAACTATTTTTTCTCATAAAATCCGTCCTTTTAATTTTCTTTTTATTTTGATGTTTTTAAAATGTGATAACCATGCAGACTGAAAAAATTGGATGGTATTGGTGGACTTCTTTGCGCTTTTAATTACAAGTAAATCAGCCATATTTCTAAATCATAAAGCAGGGTGAAAATAAACGTTTATAAGAATTTTTCAAGATTAATTGTTTGTGACAAGTAAAAACATTTATGTAAAAATAGTTTAAAATGATGCTTGTTTGAAAAATGAAAGTGCTTAATAAGACATTGACCCCCTCTCTCTATTCCAGTTGTGTAAGCCGATGGTTTTGAGCATTGACACATATAATGTGCATCTTTCTCATCTTTCTCATAATCAATTTTTACATATTACAGATACTGATATGACAAGTTAATGAGAAATTACGTTGACGAAAAGAAAAGTTCAACGACTGTCCAGTATGATTTCCGTTCAACACTACGATATGCCTAATATGGAGTCTCGCGGTAGGTTGACCCTGTTCTGCCGTAAAGATGAAAAATATTACGCGTTGACTTGTTTCCACGTTGGTTTTGGACCTCATGTGAGGTTGAATGATGACCTTCTTGCGGTTCTTGATGAAATTAATAACAACAAAGAAAGCATTCAACGTTTATTGCGTAAAAATAAATATACTTTCTTGGATGATGACGACAGCGTGGTTGGTCATTTTTCTGATTTCTCTTATGGTCCTAAATTAATATCATGTCTATCACTGTTGGCAATAAAGAGGAATTTCAGAAGCTTGTTGGTGATGAATTGGAAGATGTTAATTCAAACTTTCATGACGTATTTAGCAAAATTCATGAAAGGCTATGCCAAGAGGAATCTGTGAAAGTTCGCACAGCCACTGGTACTGAGGGCTACTTGTGTGACCTTATGTATTCAGTTTTTGTTGAAAAACATGTGATTTTGCGTAATGTTATCAAGATAAAAAGTGATGAGTCAATTCTTCAGGATGATGATGCTGGTGTTCTTGTTTATTTTTTGGATGAAAAAAATAATTGGCAACCGTTTGCGTATGGAATTGCAAAAATAACTGAAAATAACGAAGAGACCAGAGAGACATATTATGTCTGCTTGCGATTAAACATTGCCTTAAAAGCACTGGGCCTTCAGGGTGGTCAGTTTTTTAAACCGAGGAACAATGGTGACACTCTATCCGTTAGTGATAAACACATCGACGATGACACTGCCTTGAACAACACCAACCGTGACGACAATGGTCGCACTGCCTCTTATAAAGGTAAAAAGTTGTGTCATTTTATTTTCCTTTAAGTTTTCTTTAATATTTTACTGGTCGAAACGTTTTTAATATGACAACGGTAATGACAATTGATAATACAATATAAATAACATCATACAAGTATAAAAATATATACATATAGCAATCGACTTTTTGACTGCCAATTTTTCATGATTTTCTGTCTTTGTGATGTTTTAGAGAAAGCTGACGAGAGAACCTATCAGGAACATGAACAAGGTAAGCATAGTGGAAATCATCATATTATTGTTTGAGTTGAATATTTTTAGTGTAATATAAACTACACTTTTCACTATTGTATATGTTTAAACAGACGCAATATAAAATACTCTGTAGCTTTTGGTTATTCGATGAAAACAACAATGCTCTCAACACTTTCTTTTTCTGTGTTGACAAAACACATTTCGATAACTATTTTCGATGGTCATAATTTGCTTATTTTAGATACTATAGCAACATAGTAAAAATCGGTAACAAATCTGTAGTTTGCTACAAATTTTCATCCAATTTTTCGAGTCCGGCGTCTTTCCATGTATGACAAGAACACGTAATATGGCGTCAGTGTCGGTCCGACAAATCGTTGTGTGTAAACGTACCTGTAAATGTTGGCTCGACAAAACATTTTTTGTAAACGTACCTTTAAAAAACTTCGTCATGTGCTTTACCAAATATAAAAACAAACATTGATTTTTAAGCACCAAGTTTAAACAAATACAAAACAATTGTGCGTCAAAAGCTAACAAAGATATAATAGACTAAAAAACGCAATGTTCATAAGAAGATGATGAGCATCTGTCAACTTCAGTGTCATTTGCGACTTCTCCTGGGGGTAGAGTGTGGTTACAAGTATCTCTGAGTGTTTCGATGAAAAATAGAGTAATAAAGTTGTTAATGTTAAATTTTTGAAAAAATTCTTATTGTGTTACTAATATTAATAAATTTGAGTCGCAACTGTAATACTTTTCTTATAATTCACAGCCAATCAACGTTAACAGAATTAGAAAAGTTAAATTTAAATTTCTAGCGATTTTTTTGCAGTCTGGTTGCAATGGTTACTGTTATGAAAGAATGCTAGATGCAGTGTTTGTGTTTGAAATAAATGAGACAATCTCATGAACCTGAAAAATTCAGATGACTCAACGGGATTCGAACCCATGACCTATGTAATATGAAAGAATGTTATGAATTTTTCAGGTTCATGAGACAATTGCTTAAATTGTTCAGCAAAGTGCGAAGATCATATCTTCATTTAATTTCAAACACCGCACTGCATGTAACATTCTTTCTTATTACATTCCTTTCTCGGGAAAACATCAGCCCAAGAAATTGACCTGCTCTCCACTGTGTGACTTCATACATCAGTTGGTTAGAGCACTGCACCGGCACCGCAGAGGTCAAGGGTTCGAATCCCGTTGAGTCACCTGAATTTTTCAGGTTCATGAGACAATTGCTTAAATTGTCCACCAAAGTGCAAAGATCGTATCTTCATTTAATGGTTACTGTTATGTTAATTATAAAGTAAATGGTTTGAATCCGGGAGTATCGTAACATGTTTGTAAATGATGATCGTCCAGGTTAGTAAAGTCCTGAGAAGGACTATTTTTGTTGTTGTTGACTGAGGTTTCGACAACCTTAGCGGTAGTCATCTTTAGAGTCAAATGAGGAGTAAATGTCAGTTTAGCCGTATTTGTTATCTGGTTCTTACGTCATTGTATTGGTTCTTACGTCAAGACAATGACGTAAGAACCAGATAACAAATACGGCTAACCTGACGTTTACTCCTCATTTGACTCCGAAGATGACTACCGCTAAGGTTGTCGAAACGTCAGTCAACAACAACAAAAACAGTCCTTCTCAGGACTTTATTAACCTGGACGATCATCTTTTACAAACATGTATGTTAATTATATTAATAGTATTTATTGTTCTTTTTACTACAGCGACATACACTTATTCAAGCCAACTTGAAATTGCTGAGAAAACGGACAACAAAATACTCAATCTGAAGCTTCTAGTACAGATGTACACCAATGAATATCACAAATTTAGTAAGACGCTATTTAAAATATAAAGCTAATTGTTTGCAATAAAAATGTTAAATATCGAATCCACATTCCTGTTAACTATCTAAAGTTAAAAGCTAGGTCACATTTTCGCAGTTTATATTTAAGCAATTTTAAATATTTGCTTATGATTATGTAGCAAATGTACTTTGAAACCACGATTTGTGCTTGCACTTGAAACTAACAGAGCCAGAGGCGTACTGAAGTTTTAGACTGATGAAAACTTTTACACCACATTAATATTAGAATCATTGAAATGTCTATTGACTATTTGACTATTTTTTATATTTTGCTAAATGGCATACAATTATTTTAAGTTGGGAAGTCGCAAAAATGGAATTGCGTTGACAAATCAGTGATGCATCGCGAAAAGTTTGAAATGATGCAAAAACATTGGCTTGAACATCCAGGTGATATTAGAATTAAAGGCGATGTACGTGTGATTTTCAAGGAAAAGTTCTTGATTGGCAAAGGAAGTGGTGGAACCTTAGTTTATCTTGGTTTGGGAAATGATGGTTATGGAAAAGCTGTAAAACGAATCCTTAAATATAGCTATACCTATCTTGCTCTACAAGAAAAGAATGTTTTGAGTGAGCCAAACGCAAAGAAGTCGAAGCATGTTGTAAAGTATTGGAACTATGTAGAAGAGGAAGGAGAAGATTTTGTCTATTTGATATTAGAATTGTGCGAACAAACTTTGACAAGTTTTGTTGAATCTAGTAGTTTAGATAAACTTCACGAAGCCCTTCCCGAAATCCTTAGACAAATATTAAATGGATTATCTGATCTTCATAGTGGCCCAAGTTCTCTTCTTCATCGAGATTTAAAGCCTTCTAATGTTCTTCAAGACGTGGAAGGCAAATTTCTGATAGCTGACTTTGGCATTAGTCAAATATTGAAAAGTAAATCAACACATCGAAGCAGTCCTGGTAAAGGAACTTATGGTTGGTCCGCTCCTGAATCCTTGCGTGGTGGTCGTTACAAGAAAGAGTCTGATATAATGGTAGATATGTTAGTTAAAAAATATTTAGCTATTGTTGAGTTCTGAAAATAACTAATTAACTCTACTTTTTAGCATTTCAGTATCTACAGTTGATGTTGTGACTATTTATGGTTTTTTTTTTAATATTAGAGTGCAGGAATGGTGGCTTATTATGTTGCAACAAAAGGGGAACATGCTTTTGGAACTGAAGAGAATATATTGAATAACTTGTTAACTGGAAACCTTGTTGGCTTAAAGAAAATCGATGATGTTCAACTTAAAGATCTTCTTTCGTGGATGCTACAGCATGAGCCTAAACTCAGGCCATCAGCCAACGAGGCGTTAAAACATCCTTATCTACAATCCAATGAAGAAAAGTTTGACATGCTGAGTAAAGTTGGGAACCAACCGGAGTTAAAACAACCAGAATATCAAAATTCAGATGTTCGTAAGCAGTTGGATTGTTTCACAGAATGGATGAAACGTATCGATGATGAAGTTTTGAAAGATTTTAAAACATTTGAAGTAAACAAGAATGAAAGAAATGTAACCTACGAGTCTTCATGGGCAAGTTGTTTGAGATTCATACGTAACGTTGATCAGCACTGGCATGATAAACCTCATCCACGTCTATCGCCATATATCAAGGAAGACAACTATAAAGAGTATTTCCTCCAACGATTTTCCGAACTTCCTCTTCTGGTGCACAAAGTCATAAGGTCGACTGACTGGAAAACAAGACCTGATCTCAAAAAACATTTTACGAGTAAGTAAAGCATACTAAATTATTTTTAATGTATACGAATTAAGTAGCTGTATGTGGAGTTCAATTTACGATTTACATTGCCAAAACTTTGATAGTAATTTTCGCTCTACTTGTTTGCCTAAATTATAAGATATATTTGTATTTAATATCGCTTGATTTTAGGCAATTACTTTTGCAAATACTTCTAGATACCATACATGTTGTGGAAAACAAAGTAGTTGATGGAAAGAAACGTAAATTAAATACTTGCATAATTATTTACTCTTATACTCTGCTGCTGAGTTTCCACAACGAACCTATGTTATATAGCTCCATGTTCATATATAGAGTTGTAAGGTTTTACTTTGCATTTTCATTAGAAAACATCAATTGCGGTAGTTAAATGTTTGTTTCACGATCTATGCGCAAATATATGATGATTTTCTGTCTTATTTTTATCAAAAGGTGTTAAAAGTCCGAATGATACAACTATCCTATAATTCAAATTCGAAATGGCACTGTATATTCCTGTTTAAAAGAACCTGGAATGTTTATTACTGAGGAGAAAGAGTTTATGTGTTTTACGCTATTTTTTATTTCTTTTAGAGTCAAGTTCATTTTCGTATACCTGTCTTGAAGAACCAAGAAGCAGTGCATCAACATTCAAAGGTATATCTAATGTGGTGGGATTTTTTGTTATTGAGAAAATCATAAATTGAAATAATTTTAATAAATTATGTAAAAGCAGTATTGAGGATTGTAGCTAAGAATTGCACGAAATATTTTCATGAGTGAATAATGATAACTTTAACCTTTTAGTTGAAGAAAAGAGAAAAATTAATCTTCCGAGTGCCGAGTCAACTTCAAAATTTGGTAAATTTGATATTTTTTGTTTGAGAAATTCAAAGTCCAGTGACATTGTTTCGTGTTAAATTTTGTAGGTGAACTTTCCAGTGTCAGCAAAGAAAAAATTCTGAATTCAATTACTTCTCTTAGTTTCAAGTCACCTTCAAAAACTGGTAAATTTGATATTTTTGATTCAGGAGATCCTAAGTCCAGTGACATTCATTTTATGTAATATTTTGTAGATGAACCTTCCACTCCCAACACAGTCGAATTTAAAAAACGTTTTCTCACAAAGGACCACAAAATTAAAGATAGCGTCCATGAAAATTTGAAAAAGTAAATGTTTTTTATCGTTTTTACGTCAATTTTGACATATTTGACACGAGAAAAAGGCATCGAATATCTTCACTTTTTTACATTTGCAGTTTTCTTTGGCTTTGTGGCAAGTATGGTACAGCACGTCCTAATGATAAGATGAATTATCGTCACATGTATCTTGAAGTTGACGAATCAAAGACTGAGGATGTTGTAAAGCAAGAAATCGATGACAAATTTAAATGGAAAGCTTCAGATTACATCGAATTACGTTATGTTGATCCACGTAAAAAAATAGAAATCCAAGAGCTATCCAAAAATTTTATTGTAAGGCGAGATGATGAACCCAACGAAACCATTGGTACATTGACTTTGTTTTGCTGTAAAGATGAACAGCATTACGCGTTGACTTGCGCCCATAATGGTTACTTAAAAAGTATTCCCAGAGACCAAAGGAAGTTCTTGTACATTCGACATTAGAGGGAAAACGAAGCAAGAGCTTATGTGGACTACTTACATGAAAACAAATATTTCTACATCCACAACGAAACAACTGAAATAGCTCTTGGCAAGTTGGCTGCTTACTCATATAATCAAGAAACCGATATCATGGCCATCTTGATTGATGATAAAGCAACTAAATTTACTGCAGCTGAAATAGAGGTACCGAGATCTTTTGATGACGCTATCGATTTGCTGTCAGGAAATAATGAAAGTCAAAAAGTTTATAAAGCTGGTAGGGAATCTGGGGACAACACCATTTTTGACGTCAATTTTACTTTTCCTTCCAATGAAAATGGAACACCTGTATATCGTGACGTGGTGGCAGTAAAGAGTGATCACGAATTTCTCGAGGAAGGAGATTCAGGATCACTGATCTATTATTATGATGAGAATAAGAAAAAGATACCGTTTGCATATGGCGTTGCTGAAGTGAACGACGAAAACGAGACATACTATGTTTGTATGAGATTAAAAGATGGCTTAAAAAATCTGGGACTTCTCGAAAATGTCAGCTTCAAAGACTTCTCAAGTGTGACAAGTTGATTTATTTTGTGAAATGAACAATACATTTCTAAATTATTTACTATTTATGTATTCATATAACATTTATGCATTCATATAACATTTATGCATTCATATAACATTTATGTTTTCATATAACATTTATGCAATCATATAACATTTATGCATTCATATAACATTTATGTCTTCATACAACATTTATGCATTCATATGACATTTATGTTTTCATATAACATTTATGCTTTCATATAACATTTATGCATTTATACAACATTTATGCTTTCATATAACATATATGCATTCTTATAACATTAATGCATTCAAAAAGTACACATTCTTATAACACAGAAAATTTTTCCAGAAAAACCCCATCGAATTCGCGTACTTCGATATCGTCGTCAATAACAATAGTAAAAAACAGGATTTAAAACCATTTAGAGTTAATTACTGATAGACATTGATAGTCAAAAACCATTATGGACTTTATATAGCTAACCCAATAATTTTGTAGACAATTTTTTTGTGTAATTCATGATTTTAGTCAAAACATTTCCAGTGAAAACACAGTATTCGAAGCATTTATGAAAGCATACCGTCAAAAATATACTGAAAAAATAGTTTGCAGTACGTACTCACGCAACAAAAATCGTAGATCAGGACGTGTTACGAGTCACTTGTTTTTTAAGTTCTCAAGCTTTTTATGCCATCTAAGTGTGCTCAAAATGGCTAAAAGTTACAGTTTGGTTCGTACAAACTACAAAGCATTCTGCTTTTTTAAATATCTTTAAACAGAACAAAAAAAAATAGCAAAGTCAAAAAGTAAGTATAAATGTACAAGCACAAAAGTAAGTAAGTAATACAAGTTTGTAAGGACAAAATTAAGTAAGTATGTAAGTAATACAAGTATGTAAGTAGCTATGTTAGTATATAAAACAAGTATTTAAATACAAAAGTAAGTAAATAAGTAAGTAATAAAAGTACGTAAATATAAAAGTAATAAGAATGTAAGTATGTAATACAAATATGTAAGTACAAAAGTAAATAAATAAATTAGTAATACAAATATGTAAATATAAAAGTAATTAAGAATGTGAGTATTTAATACAGGTATGTAAGTACAAAAGTAAATAAATAAGTAAGTAAAAGAAGACAAATCTACAATTTTTTTATTACGCAAAGTAACGAAGTAAATTTACTTTCTGACTAACAAAACTTTACTTTGTTACTGATACATGTCATTAGTTAATATTACATACATTACGTAACATTATACTTTGTTATTGATGAAACATTCATGCATTCATACAACATTTATGCATTCATATAACATTTATGCATTCATATAACATTTATGCATTCAAACAACATTTATGCATTCATATAACATTTATGCATTCATACAACATTTATGCATTCATATAACATTTATGCATTCATATAACATTTATGCATTCAAACAACATTTGAGCATTCATATAACATTTATGCATTCATACAACATTGATGCATTCATATAACATTTATGCATTCATATAACATTTATGCATTCAAACAACATTTATGCATTCATACAACATTTATGCATTCATATAACATTTATGCATTCATATAACATTTATGCATTCATACAACATTTATGCATTCATACAACATTCATGCATTCATACAACATTTATGCATTCAAACAACATTTATGCATTCTTATAACATTTATACATTCATACAACATTTATGCATTCATATAACATTTATGCATTCATATAACATTAATTCATTCATACAACATTTATGTTTTCATACAACATTTATGCATTCATATAACATTTATACATTCTTATAACATTCATGCATTCATACAACATTTATGCATTCATACAACATTCATGCATTCATACAACATTTATGCATTCAAACAACATTTATGCATTCTTATAACATTTATGCATTCATACAACATTTATGCATTCATATAACATTTATGCATTCATATAACATTAATGCATTCATATAACATTTATGTTTTCATATAACATTTATGTATTCATATAACATTTATGCATTCATATAACATTTATGCATTTATACAACATTTATGCATTGATATAACATTTATGCATTCATATAACATTAATGCATTCATATAACATTTATGTTTTCATATAACATTTATGCATTCATATAACATTTATGTTTTCATATAACATTTATGTATTCATATAACATTTATGTTTTCATATAACATTTATGTATTCATATAAAATTTATGCATTCATATAACATTTATGTTTTCATATAACATTTATCTATTCATATAACATTAATGCATTCATATAACATTTATGTTTTCATATAACATTTATGCACTCATTGACTTAAATTGGAATGTGAAAGTGGAACTAATTCAGCTCATATGATCCACGCAAAGTGCATCAGTGACGAAACTTGTCGTGAACGAGTAAAAAATGTTAGGATGTTATGTTACTGAAGGTGTTGGTTTGAAAGCTTAAATATTGTTTATTTTTGCAACTCACTAATAGAAATAATTGTTTGGTTGTTAGCATCAGGTACACTCAGGCCAGGTTACAGGTATTTTCCTCCTTGATCTAAGCAAAACCTTTAACACCGTTAACGATAAACTGCTTCTCCAAAAACAGCTTGGATTGTCTAGAAGCACTGCATCCTACATGGTTTCAATCTTATCTATCAAATAAATCAGTTACCACGGTAGCGGAGTCGTTCTTTAGTCTTGTACGATGAATATTCAGACTGGTGCATACATCATTGCTGAAGGGTCAAAAAAGTAACAGAAGAAATAAGGATACGAATACTTTATCTACTATGTCTTTTCATAATTGATAATCTTACGATTAAACCCACCCACTTCGCTTACATATATTATTATTAATTTATTTAATACTGGCATAAGCGTTTACTAATATATCATGTTGAGATGCAGATGATAATTTTGAAGAACTGTTCTTCATGTTCACTGTTAACAGTTTTGACTTTACTAACGTTCTTTACAAACGCAGCGACATTAAAGCTGAAGTTTGTAATGCACTTAAATGAAAGGTGAAAAATGAAAATCTCTGAATGTTGTGTTTGGTGAATTTTGATGTTTTGCTAGCAAAGAGGCTTTTACTAGAAAATGACTTTTTATTTTGATGAGTTTTAAATCTTTATTTTAGGTTTTACGTGGCTATGTGAAGAGTATGGAACAGCTGTCCCAAACGAGAAGATGCCATTTCCTCACTTTTATGTTATGGTCGTTGGGCAGTGGCTAGACTTAGCTTGGAGCCGGTCTAGAATGGAGCCGTAAGGCGCCTCCTTCCCTCCACTAGCCTTGGGTGTGCACCTTAGGCAAGTGCTAGTACACCCTTTGCCTCCCTTGCCAGGGTCACGGCTGGGCGGATGAGCTACCAGAGTGCTAACACTAGCGGTTCTGATAGTCAAATCGGCTTCAGTTTCGGCAAAATGAAACGAGCTTCTCTGTGGTCACCGGCCAGGGCGGAAGGCCTCCACGACGAGCTCAACGGCCATCATGTCCTCGTGCCTCCGTGGTAGGTTTTTGAGCCAGAGGTTAGGACAAGGACAGTCTGATGTTAAACCTACGACCCGTGGATCTCGCTGTCACCGTCCCAGCTCGCTAGTAGGCTCTTGCCGATTGTGCTAGCATAATTTTTGGCATAATCTGAGGAATTGAGCATAATTTTTGCCCTTTTTCAAAAAGTAGCACTGCTAGCATAATCCGTATATTTTCTTGTCTTAATAGCACAATTTTAGAATAATTCAAGAAAACGAAGATCTCAGCTACTAAAAACGATAGATTACTATTAACAGTTGCTTCCACTCCTATTTTTCGATTTTTTTTTACTTGTGTTGAGATACCGCGGGAGTTCGATGAAACGGAACCGGAAGTCTGTGTCTCGGTCCCAGACTCCTCAGTCTTTCTCCCAGTGCTTGTTTCAAAATGGCGGCCGCCACGCCAAACCAGTCAAGTGCAGTGAACTTACATCCAAATAGTTTACAAGGTTGCGAGAACAGAGAGGATAGACCAAAGTTGTTGCTAGCGCGCGCACCGTTCGTTGTTTACTCGAAATTTGCATACTTTACCATGGTAACTGGAAGCCATTTGAGTGCAAAACCTTGCGCAAACTGTGTGGTGCTCTGCTACACGCGATGATTAGCAACTAGCAAGCTACCCGCGGATAGTTATCCACCACACTATCCAGGCTTTGTGCAACCTACTTTTGTTCGCTGGATAACTATCCGCTGGATAGCAGATTTATTCGACGTATAGGCCCAACCACCGGATAAAATTACCCAGGTTTTGGACAACCGAGCCCAGAACGTCTGGCCAGGGTTAATAAAATACATTTTCAAACTTGTCTTGTGAGTTGTGAAGTTTGTGCACAGAATAATTTTTTAAAAAAGTAGCATAATTTTGAAAAGCGAGCATAAATTGAGCATAATTTGAGCAAAAAACGAGCACTGCCACTAGCATAATATGCCACTTTTACTAGCACAATCGGCAAATGCCTACTCGCTAGGCCATGACAGATGAACCCGGGTGTAAAGGGTGGGGCCAGTACTGCGCACACTGCACTTCACTTTAAAACTCATCTGCGCAGGCTCGAAGGATGCGTTCACGTCTGCGACGCCTTCAACTATACCAAGTCCTGTAGCGATGGGAAAGGCGCGAAACCGGCAAGTGAAAGATGTCACTGGAAGCCGCAGTCTCAATCCTGCATGCAGGCGGTTCGGGATATTGGTCGCCTCACGCTGACCCGAGATGACAACATCACTCGGCAGCACCCCGAACTACCAAGCAGCCCTTTTTAGGGACAGCACTGCTTGCTCCACAAGGAGAGGGGCCTAGAAAAGATGGCCTAACCAAAGCTCATCTTGGCTTGCCGTGGTCAACGGGCATCTTTACTAGCGGTCGAACAACAACAAAGAAAGGAAGGTATGCACCCACCGGTATGGGTGCAAAAGCACTGAAACAGGCATGTTGGAACATCAAAACCATGCTTGACAAAGCGGACAGCAACAGACCTGAACGTCGCTCTGCTTTGATTGCACATGAACTGTCCAGGCTAGATGTCGACATAGCTGCCCTCAGCGAAGTTCGCTTCCCCGAAGAAGGCAGCCTTCAGGAGCATGGCGCCGGATATACCCTCTTCTGGTCAGGAAAACCTGCTACAGAAAGGCGTCTCGCAGGCGTCGGCTTCATGATTACAACCTCCATCGCTTCCAAGTTGGAAAACCTGCCAACTGGTCATTCTGACCGCATCATGTCCATGCGCCTCCCTCTGAAGAACAAAAAGTATGCCACGCTCTTCAGTGTGTATGCCCCATTTCTTCAAGCTGTGCCTGCAGAAAAAGACAAGTTCTACTCAGAGCTCCGCAGAGTTCTTCGAAGCACCTCCGTAGACGATAAGGTGATAATCCTAGGCGACTTAAACGCCAGAGTGGGACAAGACGCTGTTGCCTGGAAAGTAGTGCTTGGCAGACATGGCGTTGGTAACTGCAACGACAACGGACGCTTGCTGCTGGAGTTTTGCATGGAGCAGCAACTTGTAGTCACCAACACCATCTTCCAACAAAAGGGCAGTCTGAAAACAACCTGGATGCATCCTCGGTCCAAACACTGGCACCTTATTGACTACGTTCTAGTGCGCCAACGAGACCTCCAAGACGTCTTACACACCAGAGTGATGCCCAGCGCAGAATGTCACACTGACCATCGCCTCGTGCGCTGCAAACTTAGACTTCACTTCAAACCTAAACCAAGAAAGGGAGGGCCCCCAAAGAAAATGTTCAAGCTCAGTAGGCTACAATCAGCTGTAGTGAGAGCTGACTTCCAGATGTGTTTGCAGTTCAAGCTTGAAAGCGACGGCTGCCCAGAAGATCCTTCACCTGATTCATTTTGGCTTCATTTGAAAAGAGACAGACATACTGCAGACATCAGAAGAAGTCCTGGGGTTCACCACTAAAAAGAATAAAGACTGGTTTGACGAACACAACAAGGAGATCCAGGAATTGCTGGCTAAGAAGAGATCAGCGCACCAGGCTCACCTGGCTCAGCCGTCCTGTCCCGTGAGGAAAGCTGCCTTCCGTTACACTTGCAGCAACCTCCAGCGCAAGCTTCGCGAGATTAAGAACGAGTGGTGGATCAACCTCGCAGAACGAACTCAGCAATGCGCAGACGCTGGTGACTACAGAGGCTTCTACGAAGCCCTTAAGGCAGTGTACGGCCCTACGCACCACACCCAGAGTCCTTTGCGCAGTGCGGACGGTGAAGCACTCCTCACAGACAGGGCATCTATCCTGAGTCACTGGTCCGAGCACTTCCACGCCCTCTTCAGCGCTGATCGAGTCGTTCAGGACTCAGCAATCCTCCGCATCCCTCAGCTCCCAGTTATAGTGGAATTGGGCGAACCACCAACAATGAAAGAACTCACAGAAGCCATAGAGAAGATTAAGAGTGGCAAGGCAGCAGGAGTTGATGGCATACCACCAGAGATGTAGAAGGATGGAGGCCCAGCGTTACACAGAAAGCTCCACGAACTCCTCGTCTGTTGCTAGGAACAAGGAAAGCTTCCAAGAGACCTCCGTGATGCAGTCATCGTTACCTTGTACAAAAACAAGGGGGAAAAGTCAGTCTGCTCCAACTACCATGGGATCACTCTGCTTTCGATCGCAGGAAAAATCATTGCTCGTGTGCTCCTGAACAGGCTTATACCTACCATCGCAGAAGACCACCTCCCAGAAAACCAGTGTGGCTTCAGAGCAAACAGGGGTACCGCAGACATGGTATTCGTCCTCAGGCAACTCCAAGAGAAGTGCCAGGAACAGAACAAAGGACTCTATGTAACGTTTGTGAACCTGTCGAAGGCCTTCGACACAGTGAAGAGGAAGGGACTTTGGCTCATTATGGAGCGCCTCGGCTGCCCCCCAAAGTTCCTCAGTATGATCATCGAGCTGCATGAAAACCAGAGCGGCCAAGTCAGGTAAAACAGCACCCTCTCAGAACCCTTCCCCATCGTCAACGGCGTGAAACAGGGTTGTGTCTTGGCTCCGACTCTGTTCAGCATCTTCTTCAGCATGATGCTTAGGCAAGCCACAGAAGACCTTGACGATGATGATGCTGTCTACATTTGCTATCGTCTTGACGGCAGCCTGTTCAACCTCAGGAGGCTGCAAGCCCATACAAAGACCCATGAGCAGATGATCCGAGACCTCCTCTTTCCCGACGACGCTGCCCTTGTTGCCCATACCGAAAGAGCCTTGCAGCGCCTCACGTCCTGTTTTGCAGAGGCTGCCCAGCTCTTCGGACTCGAGGTCAGCTTGAAAAAGGCGGAAGTCCTCCATCAGCCCGCACCTCAGGTAGAGTACCGCCTTCCTCACATTACCATCGGCGAGACTGAGCTGTTAAACGTTCACCAGTTCACCTACCTGGGGTGTGTTATCACATCAGTTGCGAAGATCGACAGGGAGGTCGACAACAGACTGGCCAAGGCAAGCAGCGCTTTTGGCAGACTGTATAACAGAGTGTGGAACAACAATTCCTTGAAGAAGGACACCAAGATCAGCGTGTACAGAGCTGTCGTACTCACCACCCTCTTGTACGGCTCCGAGTCGTGGGTAATCTACCGTCATCACCCACGCCTCCTTGAGCGTTTCAATCAGCGCTGTCTCCGCACCATCCTCAACATTCACTGGAATGACTACGTCACCAATGTTGAGGTTTTCACACGGGCAGAGATCACCAGCATCGAGGCTATGCTACTGAAGTCGCAGCTACGTTGGGCAGGGCACGTTTCCAGAATGGATGATCAGCGCCTGCCCAAAATTGCCTTGTACGGCGAACTTTCCACTGGCCACCGTGACAGAGAGGCACCGAAGAAACGCTACAAAGATTCTCTGAAGAAGTCCCTCGGAGCCTGCCATATCGACCACCTCCAGTGGTCTATTCTTGCTGCTGATCGTGATGCCTGGCGTCGTACTGTCCACCAGGCTGTCTCCTCCTTTGTGGACTCTCGTACAGAGAACTTGAGGGAGAAATGCCGCAGGAGGAAGAACCGGGAAGCTTCAGCAGCCGTACCTGACGTGACCTTTGACTGTAGCCGCTGCGGCCGAACCTGTTTGTCTCGCATCGGACTTGTCAGCCACGAGCGTGCCTGTAGTCGACGTGGACAGCCCCTTTCTTAAAATCTTCGTTCGCGAAGCCAAGCCAAGAGAGAGAGAGAGCTTGTAATTATTCAAGTATGTAATTTATAATTAAATTTGAATGAGATATAGTGAGATAAGTTGCAGTAAGATATTAAATGAAAGCTTGAACAAGGGCTACAAAGTGAAGGATTATTTTTATTTGTGGTATCACATGACATGATTAAAGCAATTATACTAAGATAAAATGAAAAATGCCGTGACATTAAAAAGTCTAGTAAACGAATGTCCAAGGTTAGTCAAAAATGATGTCATGGGTAATTGTGGGATATATTTCTGGAAAAACATTGCAGAAGTGTTTTAGGATTTGTTTGTGATTATTTCTTTGAAGCTCAAGGAAAGGTGAACAAATTTATGTGTAAATTGTTGGTGATTGATATGAAGTTATCAAGCACTTGTGATATTTTGAAAATGAAGACTTATTTAGTTTAGAAATTTTAAGCATTTATCATGTGCTATTAATTTTTTTACCAGTAATTATATCTAACTTTATTAAATCAAGTATTTGCTTATTTAATTTCAGGCCTATTCTCCAGAAAACATTCCTCTGTTGTGAAAAATACTTTGGAAAAATTCGCGCCCTTGTTGGCCAGAGTCAGCCAAAGATCGTATTTTCAAGTAAAGGTGCACCTGATTTTTGTATTATACAAAAGAGAATTCCTTACATAAGTGCACCTAAAGCTATTTCTTACTAATAGTTTTCATTAACACATTCTTTTGTTATGCAATCAAAAAAGACCTCAACTATCTGCAAATGGGCTCTGAAAAGTATATAATTGTTGGATTCCGTTATTATTATGCTAATTTCATGTGTATTTTTCGTAATTTGGACACAGTCACTGAATGAAAATGTATCTGCAATGAGTATTTTTAATGTTTGTTTACAAACTACTCATTACTGTCTATGTAGTTTGCACTAATATTGAGCTGTACAATTTTCTGGGAGAGGTCTCACTGGTCTGTTTGCAACATTGAAGGTGAGTTATTTTATTTGTCCGAGAAATTAGGCTATGCAAAACAAGAGAGTGGAAGACATCATGTCTGTGACGACACTCTATGTACTGCCTTTTTATCATATTTCTTATTTACAAAAAGTTTAAACCTTGTTTCAACCCCCCTCAAATAATGACAATTCTGTTGTTAGTATCAGGAGTTCAAAGTATCATGACAAAACAAGTTGTCAATCAATGAATTCGATGTTTCAAAATAGTAATATCGTTTGAACAATTTAAATGTCAGGTCTTGAAGCATAGATAAATGGGATCAAACATAACTCATAGTTCATCGCAATTGCCGGATGGTCTCATGAAAATTGCGAACTGTTAAATTTGTGCATACTAGAAAATTCTTATCCAGTGTTAATATGCAACTCCACTTGTTTTAATCTTTTTGCGTCTACTGTTTTACAGGCTTCCCACATGTACGCAAAGCGTACCTAATTTTGTTAATGCATTTTGTCAAATTCACAGAATGTCCGAAGTTTTTTCATGAGCAGTTGCAAGGTCAACAAAATGGTGACAGAAACGATAAAGTAACGATTTTTTTCTCTCAAGGTCACGAGCTGCAGAAGAAGGCATTCGTGCTGTCAGACGGAAGCAAAAACGGTGAAGAAGTGGAGGTTGTTGAAACTTTAAAAGGTGAGAGAACTTTTACAATCATAGTTGTGACATGCTTTTTACTAGATAAAAACTACACGTTGCTATTCTAGATTGCATTTGTGAATTCTTTCAAGACCTAAATAACCATTTTAATACATTTCAGGCGTCAGGCGTTTGATTCAATCGCCAATAGTTTGTATAGGGTTTTCTATAAGATAGAAAGTCAGTCTCTTGGCGATTAAATCGAACTTCCAATGCCTAAATGAAAAACACATTTTGTTATTACTTTATACAATACAAAAGACTTCACAAATTCAATTAAGTTTTTTTGAGCGTAACAGGCTTTAATTCCATGCACAAATCCCTAATTTCTGTTTTTAACACATATCTTTCAGTCTCTTATTAGTTACAGTTAACAAAAAATAATTTTAAACATTTACCAGGAAGAATTCGATTAGGTTGATAATAGGAAAATAAAAAAAGACAAATTCTCGGTATCGCTAGTATCGAATGAACAAAGATCTTTTTCTTGTTATTTTAAATAGTTGCATCTTAAATAGTTATGCAATTAAGTGTGTCATTGACACGCGTAATATCATTTACCATTTGAACATTTACCAGGAAAAATTCGATTAGAATGATAATAGGAAAATAAAAATAGACAAATTCTCGGTATCGCTAGTATCGAATGAACAAAGATCTTTTTCTTGTTATTTTAAATAGTTGCATCTTAAATAGTTATGCAATGAAGTGTGTCATTGACACGCGTAATATCACATTTTTCAATGAATTCTTGCATTTTAGATGAACAGACTATTCTAAATTCTATTACTGTATATCTTACATGCCAACACCCTTAAGGTTTTTTTCTTCTCATTAGGTGTTGCATGGTAGCGCCTTGTTTGATTCGGTTGTCCAAATTTAGAATCTCCTGTGTTTTTTTAAATGTAGTCGACTGCAATCAATGGTTAATCAAAAACATTAAACAGTTATACTATAAAACGTTCCGTTTGCTGTGATTACAATAAGCGGATTGTATTTTGATTTATGCTTTTAAATTTCTTGGTAGAGATTTGTACGGAAAAAAGTAACTTCCAATTACGTTCACATTGACAAAGACACCATTGCCTTACTGAGTTTAAGGTGTCCCTGATTGTGATAGCTTCATCATAATTGGTGAAATTAAACCATTGCACTTAATTTGTTTTAAATCAAGTTTATAAAGATGAAACTTGACGATAGTAGTCTTTTCTATACCTTGTTATAGCTACCTTGTTGCTGTGACAAATTTTTTGTGATTTTGTTGTTTTGTTGGGTAATCATAATTTTTAGAATCTGTGAATAATAAGCTTTCCCCTAAGTTGTCGCTACTGTGCTACTATTATGATAAATATTTTTGTTTCGACAATAATTTGTAAAAAAACACCCTTATTTGGCGTGCATCAAATGATTATCGTAGATTTTTGACCATTAACTTCATACAGTTGGATGTTTTAAAACATCGATACAAGTAACGTTTAACAAGGATGAGTACAATTTCTAAAATTTTCGTCCTGCGTATGTTTCATTTTTATAAATTTTCATCTATGTTAAAGCTAATAATCACGAAAAGTTGCTTTGTTGACGTACGGTGTTGAAGGTTATGATGTTATATGTAATTTAAACGCCTTAATGATTGTATATTAAAACTGTGCAAGAATTTTATTTTAATCTTTTCATTTCAACGAGTGAGAAAGACGAAGATTTGATAAATATATATTTATGATTGCAGAATTTCCTAAGTTCAATATTCACCTTGGATAATACAGAATTTATAGAGTTGCCTTCAACGAATGAAAAGTTACTTCATGGATGACGGTAAGTTATATACAATCAAATTTATGCGAGACCCTCGTAAATTGTGTGTAAGCTATACATGCAAAAATATGGATATATTTTCCAACATTTTATCGTAGAACATACATACACTTTATTGATCTTTTTATCTCGATAATTGTCGTCTAGAGATTTTATGTCTTTATGCACCAACTATAGATATATCTTTAAGGTTTTTTCTGAGTCGAATTTTATTGACTAAAATACTGTCACACGTTTGGTGACTTTTCAATTGACAGAACGTTACGAGTCTAAAGGTGAAGGAACGGAATATTACCCCGACTATGAAAGTAAGTTATACTAACAAATTTATGTATAAGGCACTTATAAATTGTATCTGCCATACATAGTGCTATACTTTTATCATTGAACATATACTCCTTGATTATGCTTTTCCTTGTTATCTCGTCATCTCAGGATATTTTACGTCTCCTTGCGCCCAATATTTTTAAGCATTTTCGATTCAAAATCCCTTCATGAGATTGTTTGTGTAAGATAATAATAATATCCATAATAACTATAAAAATAGCTTAAGAAGATTTGTGCAATCTGGACGATTTTCCAAAGCTATAGTTTACAAAGTTTAGGTGTTGAACAACACAAAATAAGTCAGTTTTAAGTAATGTCGTTATCAAAAAAGAGCTTTTGACAATTCAGATAAACCTTCGACATAAAAGTTTCAGGCACCGCCAAGGATCGATAATTGGGGGCTCATATTCATATATTCATGTTGTAATCATTAGAAAACAATTTATTTCAATTTTGGTGAATCTCAGAAGAAATAGATCCGTCCGCTATTTTTTCTGATCCGTTCCGCCGTTCAGTGGTTTTATTTGTTTGAATTTTGTTTCCTGAAATAAATTTAGAGGACTTTGTAAAGATTCGTTCTGGCGGCCCCCATATGCCTTCTGGTAGTGGTGTCTCTCCTTAAATCATTCGTGGGGTATTCCCCCCTGGCTGTACCCCAGCCACAACGCCAATGTTTTGTGTTTCATAGATATACATAGGATCGATACATAGGCGTAGGAACAGATTTAAATTTTGGGGTGGTATTAAAGTCGACGAGTATAGTAGATACTCCACCCTTATTTTTTGAAGCTTTAGGGAGTCTAGTACAAACATTGAAAATGGAGAAAGTTATGGAACCTTTATGATTTAGTTGTACTTCATTACAATACACAAAGTGCAAGTATTGTTCAAAAATCAATACATTGCACAAAACGAACGAATTTAACTAATAGCCTAAATGATTGGTCGTACTATTTGCAAGCTACGAATTCTAGTTCAATGTCAGACTAAGATGTTTTCACTCTCTGAAGAGTTAAAAATGAACCTTTGTTGTATGCATTAAATAGGTACAAAGAAGTTTATGAGCTTTACTACACATACAAGGACGTACGTTTTCATAATGTCGCTTATCGTGCTAATTCAAGTGATATCCATAATTCGCATTTGATCTTAGCATAAATTTTGTTCGTTTGCGGTCTTTACTAAATCTGACAGTATTGATATTGTTTTCCTTCTTAAGTCAATTTCTACTTCGTTCTTGAACTTTCTGTAGTCTGTGTGATGGGTACATAACATAAAACCCCTATATGCACTTATCACAAGTTCAATATTTGCCTAAGATCAAACTTTATTTGTCAAACCTGAGCTCCAGTTCATATCAAATACTGCTATCCGTGTGCAACACTGCATACTTTTTTTTAAAATAAAGGCATCGATCTCTGCAGTTCTGACAGTAAAACCTGGTCTCGCTCAAAGATTTTATAGTAGATTAAAGCGAGCCTTTTCAGCCATTAGTCAAATTGAGGGCAAGATTGAGCTACACAATATACAATTACAGCCTTCGGTTCTTCTCTTTGAATTGGGTCAAATGACTGCTTTCAGATGTCGAGTCATATAGATATTTGCTGCCCCATCATGTGCTTGTTTATGACTCTTCAAGTTAAGGGAAGGTTACCGCGAATAAAGATGTATAAAGTATTTTATCAAAAGTTCTCAAAAACGTGTTCATTTTGAAGTATTTTGGCATTGTCTGGTTTATCTATAAAAATAATAAGACGGTAAAATTGCCAGAACGGTCATTTTGTACACGTTGCGTGCAATACACCACAGAATATAAACTTTCAACTTTTCGAGTTTAATTAGATTTTTAATTTCTCATTTTCTTTGCGCAAGCGGTTGCAAACTGCTCTCCTGCTTTTCAAGATTAATTTTTTGCTTTTAGATAAACAAGGTGATGCGAAAATACTTAGACGTGGACACATTTTGAGAAATTTTGGTATAAAGATAATTTTCTTGTCATTTAAAAATGTTCTAATTTTTTTTGTACACCTTGTGAATTGTTGATATCTTACAGTTCATGGTTGTCTGCTCTCTAATTAAACATCCTACACATCTATGGGGCGCCAAATGTGCTTTTATTATTTAAGTACATTATCGCATTATTTTTCATGATTTATTTAATTATATATGATAATTGATTTAGTAGTTTAGTAGTTTGCTTATTTCAAATAACCATTTTTGTGACATTTTTGTGCTTTAAGTTTATTATATCAAATAACCAATTTTACTTCCTTAGATAAAATTTGGGTTATATTAAACAACCACTTTTCGCAAAATGGTTATATCAAATAACCAAAATAATTTTGATACACTTGGCGAAGCAAAAAAAGTCAAAACATGATAAGCCCACTCCCCCTTTCGGATTTTTATGTCTTCCGAGAGGTAGCGGTTTTTTCCAACCGAATTTCTATGCGTGCTTTGTGTTTGGTGAATTCTCTTATTGACGATTGTTTCATACAAAGGAAGGATTTTGGTTTTCAAGAATTCCACCGATTCCTCCGAAAGGCTTGCGACATCATTGACTGATGTTATAGGGCGAGCCATTCGTGAATGTATTACGAAATCTGCCGAGGTAAGCAGTACATTTGAATAAGTAAAAAATGAATGCTTATGATCTATGGCAATTATATTAAACTTGGCAACTCCGTGTATAAAGTATCAGGTATTGCTTGTTGATTTCGCACAATTTCCATAATAGTGATAATGGAAAAATACCTATTCAAATGTGCTGCTTACCTTGGCAGAGTTCGTAATAGTTTCACGAATGGCTCGCCCTATAACATCAGAGAAACATTTATATAATTATTCTTTTACCGAATTAAATATTCTCCATTGTAAAAATGAAAATTCCATAACTATGTTATGCTTGAAATATGGAGCATATCTGAAACAATTGAACTTTTTGCAAATACATGTATTCTTAACAAAAGTGGTTGTTGAGCAGAACATTGTTTTGTGAAAATCTTTGCTGTTAGTAAAAGAGCATTGGAGCTTTTTATCTTTATATTTTCTACTACATGTCTTAGGTCATCTTACACAACGTTTTGAGAATGCTTTTAGATCCATTCAATTTCAGACATCTCATCGGTATAGAAACAATCTTCACTTGGCATAAAGTCTTTTAGTTGTTTATCTCTTTGAAGACTTCTCATATTCTTTGTTTCGTATGGTCATGCAATATCCTTATATATGTTGATAAGAATTATTTATAAATAAAATAATGGAACGGTGTAATAAAGAAGATATTATTTTTACTGTACTTGCATGCTGAAAACAATTGTTTTGTGTTGACGATTTATGGATATATTTTGAGATATTCTCACCTAGGTTTAATTCACTACCAAAGTTTATTCATCATTACCAATAATAATATTTTACTATAATGCGGTTATGAGTTGTTTTGAAACAAAACTACTGAAGCCACGACGTTTTGCAGAATAATGATTAACGATGACTGTTAGTGGTTGTTTTTGCATGGGTTGCTAATCAGTTAATCACTATGACTATGTAGGAAGCAATGATGTAAATGTACATTTGTGCCACTGAAATATAATTAATTGATAGATTTTGCACTTTTCTTTCTATTATTATATATGAATATCTGCAAAGTTATGATACCTGAGGTTATATACATCTGTATTAATTTTTCTGCAGTTAGATTTTCCTTTGTGAGCACAGTTAACCTGTCTTGTGTAAAGCTAAACGATTGGTTGTAAAACACAGTATTTGTATTTATTTACACGTAACAATTATAATATAGGCATTACGCTTTTTAGGCATCGATGACAAGATTTATGTATAGCGCTAATGATGCTTGTACAGGACAGTACATACTGTATCATCAGTCCTATGTCATAAAGTGCAAAATTAAAGTTACAAGGCTGACCTAAAGATTTTACATAAGTAAAAATGAAAATGTATACAGCTGTGTAGAAACTCATATTATGGTTATGCTGTATTTGCAGTATACTAATTTGGACAAAGTTTGTGTACCTAAGTTCATCATTTTACTTGTGCTAAATAAATACAAAACAATTGCACTTATGTAACCTCGATGAATGCAACGATTTTTGTGAAACATTACAAGTTGTGTAACTAAAGAATTTATCAACACTTGACTTCTTATTGTGTTTTTTCATGTGGGTATTTTTGTGTTGGAGTATGAAAGTTTTAAAAAACTTGCATGGCATGCTTAAATGATTAACTATTGTATTAGAATTCCAGTATTTTTTCTAATCGATTGATCTGAAATGTATTTATTTTGTTTCAAATCTTCATATGAGAACAATATTTCTCATGCAATCCTAAACGTTTCAATAAAAATCTTCTATTTTAGCCCGCTCCCCCCCCCCCGTCCTTCCCCCTCTACTTTTCGTTTGGGATCTTTTCAAATTGCTAGTGTTGTTATAAGAGTATCTACGACAATTTGCAAAAAAGGTATCAACATAATTTGATAGTTCTAATTAACAGGAACAAAGTTTATCTTGGCTTGGGAAATATTGATTATACCACTGAAAGATTTGTGGACGACCTGAAGAAAGATAACATAGTCTGTCTTTGCCATATTGCATTGGGAGGATTGAACAAATTATGAGAAATTTTTGAAGCATTGTAGAAAAGGATTCTCTCTTATTGAATGTCAACACAAAGAAAATCAGCCGGAACAAAAAAAGAACCAAAGAAAGTTGATGGTATTAACGTTAGTAAAGATTTCATCGACCACAACATGAAGAACTTGTCAATTGTTACGTCAACTGGAATCATGAATGGAGTTTTAGTTGTTTACTGGGTATGAGCAGAATTGTTTGAAAAACTTAAAAGATGGGACGAGGCAACCTGTATTTACAAAAAAATATCTGGAGTTGGGTACTGAAGTTGAAGATATTCAAGATCAAATGAACGCTAGGGTGTGTTTAATACGAATATACGGAAAAGATGAGCGTGATAACTTGAGGGAGTCAGTACAATTGAAATTACAAGAACTAGATAATAAAAAAAAATAATGCGGGTACGAATGCACGCGAAGGTAAGAGACAACTTTTGCTTCGGATTAACAATAAATTTAGGGTTTTAAATACTGCATTACAATTAACATTATAAGTTTAAAGATTGGTAATCCAGGCATGTTTAATTGTAGAAAAATAAAGGTTTCTCAGGATTTTTGAAAATTTATTCTATTGAGCTTTCGACTCGGTTCTGATGAAGGCTCGAAGAACGCTCAAATAAATTTTCAAAAATCCTGAGAAACCTTTACTTTTCTACAATTAACATTATATGTACATAGTCGTTCGTTACAAAAATATATGATGTGGATTTGCCAGTGCCAAAGCTTTGTTACGTCAGTCTGGAGACATGATGTATTATATCTAATAATTTTAGTTATCAGCTATAGCCTCCACTCTTGCCAGGATTTGTTTCTTTAAACGAGAGGTTTATGATTTAACAATTACTATACGGGTTTACCGTTACGGCAGTTCAAACATCACTGGCGTATAACAACTAATATAAATTCAGGGTTAGTGATCGAGATGAACAATTATACCCATTAATTCTCAAGGATTGGCTACCTCAATTTTACCTGAACTGATTGCTTAAATGATTTATTTATGGAATGGTTGTTATGACAATTGTGCAGTCAGTACCTATTTGAATCATTTGGACGTTGAAATATTTCTAATTAATTGATTTTCTTATTTTAGTAATCTTTAAAAGTAATATTTTTACTACGATTTCAGAATTGTAGATTTGTATATATATATGTACATATTCATATACATATTTAAAAATGAAAGTTTCTCCAAATTGTTTTAAAAATTATTTTATTGAGCTTTCGACTTGTTGCTTCGAACCTTCATCAGAATGAGGATATACTATTTACAGTTGCTCTTAGCTTGTAGACGCTTAGAGCGTCTAATTGGATTAGCGGGTGGATTAATGTGATTGGATGGGATGGAATGCGTTGCCATGGGCTTTGGTGTTTTGTCAATATGATCGGTGTTAATATTATTACAGTGTAATGTTGTAGTTTTGATGTTGTTTGTAGTTTTTTTGTCCGAACTGTTTCGTAATGTAGTGGCAGTAAAGAGTAATAACGAACTCCTCCGGCCTGGAGATTCTGGTTGCCTAGTATATTTTTTACAGTTGCCTAGTTTTTCTAGTGTATTATTATGATGAAAACAACAAAAAGATACCATTTGCGTATGGAGTTGCTACAGTGACCAAGAAAAACGAGACGTATTATGTTTGCATGAGATTAGAAGATGGTTTAGAAAATTTGGGACTTCTCGAAAATGTCTCCTTCAAAGATTTTTCACGTGGTACTAAATGATTACTCTTTGTGATGAAGAACATATATATGCATCATTTAAAACCTATGTACTCCATTAACTTATGTTCATTTTTATATTATTTTTACAGGCATTAATTTGTTTAGAATTTATTCATTAATTTAACATTTGCGCAATTTTTTTGCGAAAGTTCCTACTGTAGCTATAAACTTGTTTTAGAATTGTCCTTATCTTCAACATGATTTCCGTCGCTACATATCATGAAAAGCGTGTATTCAAAAATTATAATTATTAGTGATCGAGCTGTATTTTACAACTAAATACAGCTATAGAACTATATTTGCATCTGTGGCTAATATAATGGTACGGAAGAAAAATTAGTCAAGTTTTACAGACACCAGTTTCTGAGTAAATTAATTGAGTATTTTCATTACTTCATATTCATTTCAATGCTTGGTTTAATAGTTATAATTTGTATAATATAAATATGTCAAATACGACTATATTTTTTTCAATGTTTTGTCACGAATGCTATCTATTACAAGGACTCAAATTATATGATGATTTAACGACAAGAGCACTCATCTTGCAAGGTAGGAGAATATATTTACTCGGAAAAATGTTCACGAAACGTTGATATGTGCTCAGATCAAAAGGAGTTTCCACGATTATTATAAATTCGCAGTACAGAGTTCACGATTAAAAATTCAAAATTGCTGGAAGGATTTACCTTGTAATTCTCAAAGGTTAGCATAAACAATGTATGTTACAATCACTTCTATGTTCAGACAAAAATTACATCAAATAATTGAGTAGAGTTAGCTTGATGATTCTTAGCGCGTGCTAATTGAAGTGGATTATGATTGTGCAAGAAAATAACTCGAGCTATTTGACCTAAACCTGTGTCCTAAGAATTGGTGAAATTTGATGGAACCTTTGTTAATTTCAGCCTCGACATCCGGAAAGACATCACCTAAGTTAACCATTATTGCAGTACAGCTTTTTTACTTGTAGATCTGTAGATGAACAATAGCACGTTTATTGTGGTGTCGGGTGATGCGTGATGGGGTGAGTCGCAATTAAATATTTAATTATGAACATTATTGTAACTTGTTTGTGTAACCTTGTGACGTCAAGAGCAATAAAATTGAACGAAGCCTTAGTAAAAATTTTGTAAATTTATCGAAACGTGGGGTGATGTCATTGGTCATTATAAATAATCATTGTTGTTGAGTGATAAATGTTTTTCTTTCATGATTTCCTGATCGATTTCTTAGATTTCAACTTCTTCGTTTAAGGGGATTTATTTGAATCGGGTGACAACTTTGGTTTACGTAGAAATTTGCGAAGGATGTGGTTTCGGTGGTTTCGATTTGAGCTTCTTCCTTTTTGCCGAACCTACTACTTATAAAAGAAATAAATGCGTGCGGGATGGAGGACATGGGTCATCTTATTAAAAAAGGAGAAGAAAATCCTGACATCAACTGAAGATAAGTAAGGTAATGTTGGTGAATCTAAAGTGGACTGAGGACTAGTAACATGAATGTTAATTTTTTAAATGGAAACATCGTTAGTAGAAATATAATAAATATTTACGAAATGAACTTAAATGAAAATAGTTTTATAACCATTTTATAATTTAAATAAACGAGAAATATCAGTTTATGTTGCGAATTTTTTAAAGGTTTTGTTATTTGTGGATTTTACAATGATTCTCAATGTTAGTAATTTTTGCCGTATTGGTTATAACGTTATGACTTACATATTTCTTTCCTCTCCAGGACTGGCTCCTTTCCTGGTTTTGTATGAAGGAAAGCTTGAACAAAGGGAAGGTATAAGGAAGTTATCATGTGACATGATTAATGCACAGATAAAATGAAAAATGTCATGAGAATTGTGTGATATTCGCTGGTGTTGGTAATTTTAAAAGTTTTGACATCAGAAAGGTGTTACCAAGTGTCATTTGAATACAATAGTTTCAGTCTCCTCAATCATTTATTTATCGCGACATTATTGTCCACTGAAAATGGTGACTGTATGTCATATGATGTTTTTGATGTATATTTCAGGATATATTTCAGGAAAAGAATTGGAGAAGTGTTTTAGGATGCTCTGTTTGTGATTATATCTTTGAAGCTCAAGGAAAGGTGAATGGTTTATATGTAAATTGTTGGTGATTAACATCATACACTTGTGATGTATTGAAGACTATTTATATAGTTGATCAGTTTTAAGCATGTATCATGTGCCAATATATATTTGTCAAACAATAACTGCACTTTACTTTCTTAAATCAAGTATTTGCTAATTTCAGGTCAGTTTTCCTGAAGACATTCCTGTCATTGCAACATGATTTCGTTATTTCAACTGTATATTTGTCATAATTCGTCATTGTTTATGTTGTTAAAAATGAAGGTTTGTGTGTAAATTTATCAATGATGAACTGATATTGCAACAATGTTTTTTTGTGGGGCAACTGTCATTGATCAAAACAGACTTTTATCAGTTTTTGAATATGAATGCACTGCTCATGTATGTACTGTCTTCACTTTACTAAAGGCATGATATTCTTTTGTGATAAACTAGGCTGAAAGGCCATTTTACACTGGTCATGAATCTCAGGGTGTGAAATTGTGAATTAAGGTGGAAAAGTGAATTGCAATTTTCATTACAAGTTTGTTGAACCCTGAAATGAGAAACATATCTTGTTTCTTGTTTCTGGTATGTTGTTTCGTTTTATATCTTGCTGGACAATAGACATAATACAGGATTGATGTAACTAAAAACAAACATTTCAAAATTGACAAAGTAGAACGTTTATCATAGAAATGTTCATGAAAGCATGAAAATGTTTTCAAACTCTTAAACACTTCATGTTACGTTTGGTTAGTTATTATAGTTGACACTTGTCATCAGTATCTTTATGTTCTATGTAATTCCGACATACTCAGTTTGGTTAAGTCAATTGCACTATGCACCATCTTTGTCTGAATGTTTGAAACTTTGTGGACTCTGTTAACTTTGACTTCAAAGCATTTTACTACGACAGGTACACACAAAAACAGGATAATTTTTTCTAGTTCTAAAAATCATGAAAAAACCACGACTTCTTACAGTTTTCATCCAGTAGATCTAAATAAGAAGTTATGATGAAAATAATGAAATTAAAATTATGACTTGTTGATGAGATTTAAAATTTAGAGAAAATGTAAAGTTATTTAGCTTTTTGTATTTACCGCGCGTATAGTGCATCGCAAGTGGTCGAAAGTGATTTTAAGAACTGAGGCATGTCAATTCATATCCTCATGAATAGAGTATAAGAATTAACTACTGGGTGATTCTGCCGTCACTTGTGGCGACATTTACACTGTGATTCTATAGTTATTCTCGACTTGAAGCTTAGACAAAAATGAATGCATTACAAATTAATACATTGTGGTAAAATATTTGGCTTTTAATTTTCATGTACATTTTTTATGTTGGTGATATTAGCCAAATCATATCTGAATATAAATTTTAGAACTTCAAAATAGAAATAATTTCTTTTGCAGACAATTTTAAAGGAAAAAGCCTTAACATGGTGAACATAAATATCAAAAAACTGACTTATGAAATATTCGCTGTTAAATTCTGTGAAATTAAAGGTATTTTGATGAGCCTTGAGACAGGCACTAATAATGAAGATATCAGTCACTATAAAAGATTTTTTTACTGTCGTTGGCTCCATCAATGCAGCAATCTTTACTCAATAAAACCCCTTTTGCGAATCGTAAAGGTGAAAAAATTTCATTTTAGGCCATGTAGGATGTTGAAACTTCCTTTTCTTTAAATAAAATTTGATGAATATTTGCGATTATGAAAGATCAAATCTACAACACAAACTTAAAGATGCTCAAAGTTACTTTACAACTGTAGTACTTAACCATCACTTAATTTATTTTCTTTTGATAACGTAAATGTTTTACATTATTTCTCAGCTTAAACTTTATCGTTTCGTGTAGATGACGTAGCTAATTCTTTTTTCCCGATGACGTGTATTTAACGAGGACCATGTTGTAAAATGTAAGTCTAACCTGGAGTTTCATGAAAACAAAAAAAACAGGAAAGCAATGATGGCAACATTGATGATAATTATGGAGGATATGTGAATTTAAGGACCAATGTTCCACGACTTAAAGAAAGAGTTTACAGCCAATAAACACACTGGTGAGAAGGTGTACTATGTTGGTCAACATGGTTATGATGTGTTTAATGTTCAAAACCAACAACTGTTCTTACTGGGAGAACTTTTGATCTACTAAGAAAGTGAAACTATTACAGGTCAATACTTGTACATCAAACTTTAAACATTAAACAAGACTTTGTTGAATGCTTATTTTTATGTGAAAATCTTCCACCTGTCGGCGTGCATGCTGTTTTTTCCTTAACGAATGAAATATGCAATGATTTCATCGTTTTTTAACGATAACTATTATCGTAAATAATCTAGTTTCGTAGTTTCGTACTGCGTATGTATGAAATGACTTTTCATTTTTCTTGCCGGTGTCCGAAGCCTAATCTGTGAGTCTGCAAATCTAAACCTTTAATTCAATTATCGAAAACTTTTACTAAAAATTTATCAAAAAATGCTTTGTTTCGAATCGGCAAATTTCGTGTTTCTATCCACTTTTCTAGAACATGGATGAATGTGCAATATTGCAAAGAATATGGCTACTTTCACATTTTGAAGACTGGAAAAAGGATATCTTTTCTATGTTAATATTTACTTGTTGAACTGAGTCTCGAGAATGACTGTACGGAATAATAAAAGGAGAATTTAAGATCTGTTTCCGCTTGCCATTGCTATTGGTTTACCTGTTTTTCAAACTTTAATGGTCGTTTATTAGAGAGAATTATTTCAAGAATTTTTTCGAGAGGTAAGTTGTTAACACAGTTTTGTTTAAGATTCTGTAGAAAATAATGAAAACTGCAGTCTATATTACACCGGCTGAAAATGATGGTCACATCCCAGATGTTTGCCAATTGCTACCAACTTTATAATCACCGTTATCGCAACTGCGTAAAAGCACTATTGATAAAGCGCCTTTATTAAAAAGAACAATTTTTTTAAAATAAACATGTTTTAACATCTTATGAGGCCATCTTCAGTATATACTCTTTTAAAAAAACTTGTCGTATTAGTTACCGTTTTCACTTCGCTTGATTTCCTTTTTCTACAAACATTTTCAATGTTTCAATTCAAGCATCGTCTTCTTAAATTCAATGCAAAGGACGGAAGAGTCTGCTTAAGGAGGCATATACAGTAAAACTTTTACTAAAATTGTGAGAGAAAATACTTTGGATGAAGTTGATAGTGGTGCAAACAAGGGTGAAGTTGAATATAACGTAAAAACAGACAAAGTTCATATTTTAGGCTTAGAAGATCATGGGTCTGTTGAAGAGAGTAATGTTGACAATAGAAACAGGTTATAAATGTCTCGTGAAACCCTTCATCATGCTGGCGTATCAGCGAATCAAAGTTGTGAAGCTAAAGAGAGTCGTATGGACGACGTGATTTGTGTTTCCCACGAGAATCGTGGATCTAATGTGGGACGAGTTGCTAATGAGTATCGTGGTGTCGAAGAATGGAAGTCTTCTTCAGAGTTTCATGAAAACAGAAAAAAGGAAAGTGGTACTTTTAATGTTGATGATAAATATGGAGAATATGTGAAGCTAAAGTCCAATGCTCCACTACATACAGAGAGGTTACAGCCAATCAACTTCTCTTCCAAGGAGACAGGCGCAATGACGTCACGTAGTATGGCGTCACATGATCACCGTTCAAGATACATGATGCCCAGTGATTCAGTGAGAAATTATACCAACATGGGTTACAGTCAATATGGCGATGATGTGTCTAGTGTTCATCATTAACAACCTGTTGTTGTTGTGAGAACATTTAATCATCCAGGAAAGTCGTACTCTTACAGGTCAGTTGTACTAACGCAGGTCAGCAGTACTATTATAGGTCAGTTGTACTACCACAGAGCAGTTATACTATTACAGCTTGGTTGCAGTACTAGTCATGACTTGAATTCAACTGCACACGTAATTCTACTCTGTTATTCATTCACCTCCAATGGCTTAATATGCTTAATTTTATCAAACACACACGTTGTCTTTCAGGGATGTATTGCTATCGCTAATTAGGGGGGGGCTCTTGTTCACTTATGCATGTTATAGATCCGTAGATAACAATACATTTCAAAAGATAGTAAAGTAATTCAGCATGTCATGAATATATGAATAAGAGCCCCCAATTAGCGATAGCAATACATCCCTGTTGTCTTCTCCTTTGGTTTTTAAAATTTCTAAAATTACCATTGCTCTTTGTAGACAAAGGAGATCGTTGCCAACAAACCACTCAAGACCAAACTACAAAAAATCTTTTAAATCTTCGACGACTCGCAGACGAAAACCTTTACCATCTGCCTGGACAATAAACCTTCGAGATTTGCCGTCAAGACATGAAAATTATGAAGATGTTCACTCTTATTACTTACCACCGAGAAGAAAAGCAAAATATCAAGGCTCAACTCGTACACAAGACTACATGAATCACGAAATGAAAGTTTGTTAATGCTAAAAGTCATGGTTCTGGTAATAGTAAAAGATACATTGTTGAAAACCGTCTTAAACTATCCCATGCTAAAAAGGCTAAAACCTCGACTTATTACAAAATTTCTGGTCGATCACAACTCAGCTCACATTCGGATGCGTCAGAAGTAGATTATAAATCATCGCCTGTCCTTCAAGACCAAATTAAGGATCAAAATTTTCAAGCAATTTATTCCGACAAAAAGTGGAAGAGAAATGAAGACCAACTGAGCTATGAAGTCACACTGTGGTGAGCAGGTCAATTTTGTTGGGTTCATGTTTACTCGTGAAAGGAATGTCATTTTGAAGGGATGTTCTTCATAGCTCAGTTGGTCAGAGCACTGCACCGGCACCGCAGAGGTCATGGGTTCGAATCTCGTCGAGTCACCTGAATTTTTCAGGTTCATGAGACAATTGCTTAAATTGTCCAGCAAAGTGCAAAGATCATATCTACATTTAATTTCAAACACCGCACTGCATAAAACATCCTTACAGTTTTCTGAATTCTTACCCACTCCTCCAAGGCCAAACGACAGCCAATCAGATATCTCTACGGATGGATATTCCCGTGGTAGTTATAAATCATTTAAAAACAAACTTGAAAGAAACGTTAAAGAAAACAGGGAGGTTGTTGTTGAAGACAGAAGTCAATCAGATCAAGAAAAACATAATGAATCATTTGAAGAAACTTTAGAGGTATTTATATGTAAAATAAAGTAAATGTATTTGATTTTTTTTGCTTATCCTTGCACTGCTATGGGTCTACTCTATTTACTTAACTTAAGTTTAAAGAATCTTTCACATCATTGCTTTATGTTGTCTACAGTCAAACAACATTTTCTTTTTTCTATAAACAGCGTTTACGAAATGGTGAGACGCGCGAGAGGAATGGTAAGGAAAATAGAAAAAACGTCGGTTCATTTAATAAAGAGACAAGCAGTTCATCGTGGACTCATAATGACAGCGATTTTAGAAAGAAACATCATGTGCCAATAAACGGTGTTCAAGTCCTACCACCAGAACCAGTTTTTATTCAGTTTGAAAGTAGCGATGGGGAGAATGAAAATTGAAGTTGAATGATTTATTAACAAGCTATTTTAGACTTATAAATGGTTCACTTTATATGGTGAATTTACTATCTATGTAATAACTTTCTATTTATGTTTCTTACATTTGAAGGACGTTTAAATCCACAAATTATTCATTCTCCCTCCTCCCCCCATGGAGAACATATAGCATTTTTTTTTCAAAAAAATGTACTCCTACCGCTATTTTGAAATTTCTACATTTTTAAAATAATTTTTTTATGACGACATTGCAAACAAGGCGTTATTATTGATGTTTCTTACCTGACGGAAAACGTTATAGAAATACACTTGTTGAAATATCTATTGGAGACTGTGATCGAAGATCAGTGGTTTATCTGTAAGTTTACCTGACTTTGTTATATTGTATTGTTTATATGATTAAAGGCTGATATTCTTTAAAAATTCTTGAGTTTATGATTTCTTTTAGGGTGTATATATTAACAACTTTAAGAAAATTATATTGCGTCAGACGTTAATTTTCATTGCCGAAAGTTTGTGTATGTAACTGATTTTCTACCAATCACGTAAAAAACATGAAGTTTTTTGGCAGTAACTATACGGACTTAACAATTCTATAGCATTAGAGTGTGTTTTTTTTTGCCGCGTTTTTAATCACAACTAAACTTTCATACGTACAGAATCTCGATTATGAACTACGTTGGCGGAAGTGGACACGCAAGCAAATTGTATTATGAGAAATATAATTCTTGAGAAAACTGTTCTTGGTGTTGTCTAAATTAATGTTTTCATTTATGATATGTATCTAAACCATTTTGCATTGATACTTTAAATATTGTCATTCTTGAACATTTTCATGAAGTGATTTAACAAGAAACGATTGCTTGTCTTCGATTAGCTCATCGTACAACTGAAAATGTCAGAAATGTCTTGTCTTATGTCAGATACTTTTGTATATTAAAAATTATTCTGTATATCAAACATTATCTGGATTTTCCAGCATTTGAATTAAATTAGTCCCTTCAAGTTTGCATCCATTTTCTATATCTAGAAGGGGGGCGCATAGTTTCAGTCTACTCTATGTTTTAAAGAGTAGCAATATTCCTATAGTCTTTGTTAACGTTAAGTAAATTACAAATATTACAAATATTGAGGATTATCGATGATCGATATCATTTATACTTTAATGTTCACAAACAAAAGAAGTAAAAGTTACCGGTTCATTAAATGCACCATGCTAAGCAAAACAAGAATGATGAGAATATTAAAATGACTTGTTCTCTCGCAGTCGGATATGAATGCAATATGAATGCGATATGAATAATATATGTTTTTATTAATTTATGGCAAAGAAATGTATTGCAACGCCTCTTTCAACAATTTTACACTGTCTTAAAGCTTTTGTTTGAGCTAATTAAATTAAATTAAATTAAATTAAATTAAATTAAATATTAAATTAGAGATAAAGATTAAATTGATTTAATCTTTATCTCTAACATCTGCACTCTTCAAAAATTATCATTTTCCTATCCAAGTAAAAACAAGTTTCTTTCACTGCTGGGATAATGACGATATTGAAAATCATATTTATCGTTGAAGTGATCATGAGGTTTTTAAATTGTTGTTAAGTTTCGATTGTTTTCATAAATTTATCAAGTCTTTGAACAAGCATTGTTTGTTGAAAAGGTTGTTAAGTGTGTGTTGTTTTTATACACTTACAGGAAAATTTTGCTGTCGAAAGTTGGCAATTTTTTGAACTAGCATGGTTTATTAAAAAAAAACAAAGATTGACATCAGTGGCGTAGCTAGACTAAAACAACTAGTCGTGCTGTTGTGATTGTAAGCATGAATTACTAAAATGATTGGTGCTAACATAAGTCGGTGGTGTCATTATGGTTGATGCACTCCGAGAAATTTTAACATCGATCACATCTGAATTCTCAAAATTTTTTTTGAACTATGGTTTATTGAAAAAAACAAAGATTGACATTCATTAATTCATATGCTTTCGTGTAGAAGTCTTGCTATCATATACAAAATTTAAATCTTTTAACATTAAAATGGTACTGTTTATTTGATATCTTTTAAGATTTCTCCAGTTTTCCTGCGAAAGCAAATAAATGTCTGTTTGTTCGTTCCTAGAATTAAAGACTCGACATTTTCATTGCATTCTTTGACTTCACAAACTCGAGAAATACAAAAATGGATACGAAAGACTCGAGCATTTCAGAAATGATCGTCAAAGACTCGGGAATTTCAGAAAATGGCACCAAGGACTCGGGAATTTCAGAAATTGGCACCAAAGACTCGGGAATTTCAGAAATTGGCACCAAGGACTCGGGAATTTCAGAAAATGGCATCAAGGACTCGGGAATTTCAGAAATTGGCACCAAAGAATCGGGAAGTTCGGAAATTGGCACCAAGGAATCGGAAATTTTAAAAATTGGCACCAAAGATTCGGGAATTTCGGAAATTGACATCAAAGACTCGGGAATTTCAGAAATTGGCACCAAAACTCGGGAATTTCGGAAATTGGCACCAAAGACTGGGAATTTCAGAAATGGCACCAAAGACTCGGGAATTTTGGAAATTGGCACCAAATACTTGGGAATTTCAGAAATTGGCACCAAAGACTCGGGAATTTCAGAAATTGGCACCAAATACTTGGGAATTTCAGAAATTGGCACAAAGACTCAGAATTTCAGAAATTGGCACCAAATACTTGGGAATTTCAGAAATTGGCACCAAATACTCGGGAATTTCAGAAATTGGCACCAAATACTTGGGAATTTCAGAAATTGGCACCAAAGACTCGGGAATTTTGGAAATTGGCACCAAAGACTCTGGAATTTTGGAAATTGGCACCAAGGACTCGGAAATTTCAGAAGGTAACGCAAAACAGCGTAATTTTATTATTTTATAGGTAAATTATGTTGCCGACACTTCACGACACTATTTATTCATGTGTCATAAATAATATAAACATTCTTTGGTCGATAGTCAGTAAATAATGTTCATTTCATGAAGATTGATAACATTTACTTAACTGCAACCAAAATTATTTTCAATGTACATTCATGTGCTACATTGTAATTTTTTTTGTACCTTTCTTTTCCTTTCAATTGATTTTACTACATGCAGTTTTCCTTTATCTTAGTTCATCTGTCTCTACAGTTCTAAATAAAGTCACAGTAGTCATGAATATTTTTACGCTCCATCTTTTACAATTGTAGTCAAAGAACTCAGAATACGACATCACTAATTTATGTTTGTATCAATTATCTCTTCTGTTAATTTGTCATAAATTTTTCTGAAAATGAGATAATCATTAATTACCTGTCGTGTAAGATAGAAATAACTGTTTATTTTCAATTTCACAGGGTCTTACATTTCTACGCTGCAGGAAAGTAAGTACTAAAAACAATACTTATGACGAATATTTTTGGGCAATTTTCTCTAAATGAGTCAAGCTGTCACCATAAAACGTATAAATGTGCATAATATTATTTTCATTGGGATTTTCACATTGCAAATGTAAAGGAGGCTTTGTTTTAAATAGTCATGGTAGTATAGTACGGGGTGTCATCAATATTTTACACTCCTCGACTTATAATTGTAGTCAAAGAGCTCTAAATTGTTTTATTTTCCATTCTTACTATTACGATTCAATGCGTTCCAATGCAAAATTCTGATGTCTGAATTTCGCTGTCATAATTTAAAACCAGGTTTTTACGACAATAAAATTAGAATAATTTAATATAGTTCATTATTTTTAAGAAAATATGTTGTCCTTAACCATATATTTGCAATTTTTTAGCGATAAGAAAAACTGTAAATAAATTAATTTCGGAAATTGGTACTAAAGACTCGGAAATTTTAAAAATTGGCACCAAAGACTCGGGAATTTCTGAAGGTAACGCAAAAACACCCTAATATTTAATTTTATAGATAAATTATATTGCCGACACTTCACGACACTATTTATTCGTCTGACATAAATAGTGACGTAATATAAACATTCTTTGGTCAATAGTCAATAAATGATGTTCATTTCGTGGAGATTGATAACATTTAGTTAACTGAAGCCAAAACTATTTTCAATGTACATTCATGTGCTACATTGTAATTTTGTTTTGTACCATGTTTTTCCTTTCAATTTATTTTACTACATGCAGTTTTCTGTTATCACAGTTCATCTGTCTCTACAGTTCTAAATAAAGTCGCCGGAGTCATGAATATTTTTACGCTCCATTTTTTATAATTGTAGTGAAAGAACTCAGAATACGATATGACTAATTTATGTTTGTATTAATTATCTCTTCTGTTAATTTGTCATAAATTTTTCTGAAAATGAGATAATCATAAATTAATTATTGAACCTGTCATGTGTAAGTGAGAAATGACTGTTTGTTTTCAATTTCACAGAATCTTTATTGTCTACGCTGCTGGAAAGTAAGTACTAAAAACAATACTTATGACATATGTTTTTGGGCAATTTTCTCTAAATGAGTCAAACTGTCACCATAAAACGTATAAATGTGCATAATATTATTTTCATTGGTATTTTTCACATTGCAAATGGAAAGGAGGCTTTGTTTTAAATATTCACGGTAGTATAGTACGGGGTGTCATCAATATTTTTACACTCCTTGACTTATAATGGTAGTCAAAGAGCTCTAAATTGTTTTATTTTCCATTCTTACTATTACGATTCAATGCGTTCCAATGCAAAATTCTGATGTCTGAATTTTGCTCTCATTATTTAAAATCAGGTTTATACGACAATAAAATTAGAATAATTGAATAAACTTCATTATTTTTAAGAAAATATGTTGTCCTTAACCATATCCTTGCAATTTTTAGCGATGAGAAAATCAACTGTAAATTAGTTAATCTTTCATTCCGTAAATATTAAAATAATATTTTCTTGGAGGTCATGAGATTTACTTATGATGAATCTTTATATATAAAGCATAAGTAACAAAAATATTTGATTTCATTGCATGAACAATAACCTCCATTGTTGTAAATGAAATTTAGTATTATAAAAACTACGAAACAAGCTATTGTTTCTTTACTAGAAGTAATAATCTAACTATAAACGACCACAATTATTAACTTTGATGATAAAACCACGAAAGTTTGCCACATTACTATAACTTCTCCAGTAATATATTTTATGGATATGGTTAGCCTAAAGATGTTATCGAATAATGCATGTCATGAATAATCTACATGGAAACGTTCCTTTATAAATAAGTCCAATTTAAGTCTTCATTCAAATTTTTTACATAATTTTACTTCTTTGTCATATCAGTCATGTTTTGGACTGTTTCATGTTATTTATTGTAATTTTGTTTCTTTTCCTGTGAACAATAAAAGACGCATAGTGCATGCCAAGGCCTGCATGCATGTGGTCCAAAATTAATCTGGGTGTTTTTATACACTGCAGTGTTCCCTTAGTAAATACCTTTAAACAATGGCAAAGCAACTACAAGTTATTATATCGTTCGACACTGTACATTCTTGAAATATAATCACTATATTGAAAACAAATTACCTTTTTTTACATTTACGCAACTAAAATACGATTGGTACGTTAAAGTTTTATTTTGTACTTCTCTCTCAACTTGTTTACCCAGAAAAAATACTCGAGTTTATTCTTTGCTAAGTGATTTAAAATTTTACAATTTTCAGTTTGCGATAACCGGAGGACAGTTGACTATAGTATTACTAAATTGGAGAAGTGTTAATTAATTATATGAAGTTTTTATGTGTCTATATAGTCTTGCTTTTTCATTAATAAGATAGTCAACTTGACCTATCTTATGTAATTGTGAAAATAATATTTATTTTTCTTCCTACTTTCGTTCTTCTATGTTATAAAGAATATATCGCTTGCTAGCATGCAAAAACATGTCTATTTTCCATAGAAAAATGTTTCGTACTTGTGATTAAAAAGGCAAAAACTCATACAACTTTTTACATAGTTGAGTTTTATATTTCCAATAATTTTTATTCTTAAATTAATGCACTATGAATCAGTCAACCTGTCATTTGTAATCGTAATTAAAGTATCTTATTGTTTGTTTTTAATGCAAAGAGATCCACGAGAAGGAAGGCTCTCTTGTGAAGGTTCGTATATTGATGCAGCATACTTATAATAGATATAGTTGTTTGGGTGTTTTATTTTATTCATTTTGTTGAATCAAATTATAATATTTTTGGACTTGTGAGACATGTAGAAACTAAAGTTTATTCTTTGCTAAGTGTTTAAAATTCAACAATTTTTATTTTGTGATAACCTGAGAACAGTTTGAGGATAGTCATCCCCAATGTAATGAAACAGGACAGATCTCGTTTTTTTACAATTTTTCCATACTATCTTCTTCTCATTCTATTTTAAATCTCGAACCATTAGTTCGTGAAAGCTAACTTATTTCGAATCTTCAACCCTTTTTATTTTTGTAATGACAATTCAAATTATTGCAATAAGCTGTGTTCTAATGTCTATTATAAGATTTTATTTCCCGCCTGGAAAATCTATTGTCTTTGTTTATTCATGATGTTTGTATCAGGATAAGACAGATTGTATTGAAATTCATCCACCATTCTTCTACCTCCTCCAACGTTTTTGATTTTAGCACTTGGCTTGACCTTTCATTTGTGAATGTTGAAATAAGTTTGTTTGTTTTAAGATAATTACAGTTTTATATAACGATGACTGTGAATTAGTCGAACTGTCAGGTGTAATATTGTTTTTATTGTTTATTTTTTCATAATGTAGAACTGACGATAATTCAAAATCTGCTTGAAGGTTTGTATAATCCTGTACAAAAATAATAAAAGTTTATGGTTATTGACTTAATTGCAATAATAACTCATACAAAGTATAAGTTTTTATTAAGCCTTTAATGACCGAGCGCGAGGTCGATACGGAGAAATAACGGCCGAGGTGGCGAAGTTTGTAAAAAAAGAAGACAGAGGTCCGATATTTCTCAGTAAAGACCGAGAAGCGAGGTTATTAAAAGCATTATTATATGGCATTATTTGACCTGAAACGAAGCTTGCTTTTTTTTCTTCCTTGCTGTTTTTACGGGTTGATTTTCACTTTTCTAGTTTTCATCCATAAAAACTAAACTCCTTTCAAATTGTATCGTCTAGATAGTTAAACTGTTTTCCAGGTGTTTTTCCTTCGAATCACATTCGTAAATGGTTTTTGTTTCGTTTGCTTTGCGTTTGCTGTTTGCTTTACAAAGTTTGTTTACGTTTGACTGTAAAATTACCCGTTTTAGACCGTGGTCGATTACGGTAAAATAATGGACCGGCAAAAATATTTCTGAGCTATTCAAAGCGCATCATTTAGCCGGAAATGACAGTAGTTAACTAATATATATATATATATCATCGCAGGCTCAAGTATTTTTATTATAAAATGTATTATGTCTAAAAATAGTCATAATACATCTTATAATAAAAAAAACCGGGGGGATCGTTTTTGAGGGAGTCAGCGGTAGTAAACATAAAAATAGAGAAGGGTGAGCCTGTGATAATATACATATATATATTAGAATAGTGGATAAGAGTAATATATATAAACAAGAACATTTTATAAAAAAAGATTTTATAAAAAAAGATATATTTCAAATAAAATAGAAAATAATTACATTGATGAAAGTTCAAAGTCCATTTTTTCTAAAATGATATATAGAAAGTCCAAAGTCCAATTTACTGAAGATACAAATTCTCTTCCTTCAATGCTTCATTCACAGTAAAAAATCGATAAAATGAATCAACCTTTTCACCAAATTCTTCATCCCAAAACCAGTTAAGCCAATCTTCTATTTGTAAACAAAGACATGGATAAAAACTTGACCCAACTTGTATGTTACACATTCTAAATTTTGCCAAAGTCCAATTTACTGATGGTATAATTTGTTTCGTTTCAATATATCATCGACAAGAAAGAATCGCAAATATGACTCAGTCTTTTCACCAACTTTGTCGTCCCAAAACCAATTAATCCAATCTTCTATTTGTACACAAACGCTTGTAAAAGAATTTGTAGAAGATGGTATGTCACACATTGTACACACACACATTGTAAATGAGGGTTTCTTTTATTGTTTTGAGTTTATTTCTTAAAAAACGACTTCAAACGATTGCAAACACCAACATATTTATATTCTTTTTGCCTTATCCATAAATAAAAAGAATAGGGAACATATTCAACTTCACCTCTATTTGATTTATATGGAAATTGAAAAAGTTCATAATCTCCTTCATAATAAATTTGATTCTGTTGAATTCTTTCTTGTCGATTATTCAACCAATGAACAATATTTCCTCTCCAAAGAAATTCATTTGCATTGTGGGTGTAAACACATTCTCCATTGGGATATTTCTCAGAATGTTTTTCAACATAGTTAATACAGTTCAGTGGCTTTGTATTTTCTCTTGTATTTAGTCTTGATGCATTTACCAGTTTCTTTGACATCATTTAAATAATACCATGAAAGCAAGCCTCACAATGATTACTAGTAACCAATCATTGTAATGCTTCCTTTTATGGGTTTTTTATTTTTCTTTTTTTATAAGTACAAACATTTTTTACTCAAATAATTTTATTTTGAATTAATAAAATCTTTTATTTGTCTTTTTTTCTTACTTTATATCTTTTTCTACTTTTTCATACATTTCTTTTATATTAAACTCAAATTCTATTCTTAGATGATTTATAAATTCATCAATTTTCTCTGTAAGTCTTTCTTCAATTTTTTTTATTTCTCCATTTATTACTGGTATTATTTTGTTAAATTCAGAAAAAACTTTTGAATTTACAGAAGATTCAATTTCACAATACATACATTTTGTACATGTTGATTGCTTACATATTTTAGAGAGAAATACGGTGTGAATTAAAATTATTAAATTCACGAAATGTTGGTGGTTTTCCATATGAAATATTTCCAAATCCACCATAATTTTTGGAAGGGTTATCCACATCATTTTTTTCCATCTTTCTTTATCCAATACCAATGTGGTTATCTACTCTACATTGATATTAAGGATTTATATATTACACTTTTTTTAGTAAATAAATAAAAAAACATATTTCTTATTTTTATAAAAAAATTCGAATTTCTCAATTTTTTCATCATATTTCTTTTTTTATTTTTTAAAAAAATTCGAATTTCTTACCCTTTTTATCACTCTTATAATGTAAAATCTTCAATAAAAGATTTATTTTCATTTGAATGTTTTGCTGTCTAATTGATAATGGCAAAATCTTTAAATCATAGCATTACTTTTATATTTGAGCGCAATGAAGATTTTGATGAAGAAAAAGATTTAAGTCAAATTATTATGAAATCAGAATATATATCTAAATTCATTGATGGTGGTGGAATGATTATTTTTAATAAAGAAATTGAAGATGGAAGAAAATTTAATTTCAAATTATTCGATGAAGGGATGATAATCAGCGAAAAAGATAGTATTGACATATTTATAGAAAAATTGGAAGACTACTTTTATTATCATTATGAAAAAGAATTTTATAAGCACATTACACAATTGGATTTAATTAAAGTGTTTTATAAAAATATTATTGAAAAAATTGTAATAGTAACTATATGATATATATAAGATGGTAAAAGTAGCAGATATTGCATAATATAATTTCTTACTGGTAAAATGACTGTTTTGTACAGAATTATTGTATTAATTGCTGAAATTTCGGAAAAATGGTTGCGGTCTTCAAATGCAAATTTAATATGGATAAAGTATTATATATATCACCGCAATCATCATGCGACAACCAGGTCGCTTCAGTTTACCAGATGATGTAGAAAATATATTTAAGAAGACGAAGTTTGATTGACATTTGAGTGTTAGATGTTTAGTATCATTTCTTGCTGGTGATAATGGCGGATTGGCGAAGCAGAACTATAGTATTTTTCTTAACTCCTGATGTTGATATTTCGAATAATGTGTTTCTATCTTCAGATGTTATTTTGAGTTGGAAAAAGCAGTGCAGGGTTTTTGATGTTATTGATGAATGTCAAGAATATAATTTAATAATAAATTTTGATGCAACTGAAAAGAAATATATCTTTGAACAAAAATCACTTATTGAAGCATTTATTAAAGTATTAAAAAAATATTTGGATGAAAATGATGATAATCATCAACATTTCGAACAAATGAAAGTAGTTATGAACAGTAATGTTGAAAAAATATTTTCCTATGTAGCTGAATAGGTGAAGATGTGTGTATATATATATAATTTACCCTCCATGTAAAAACAGATTGATGAAAAAATGTCTCGGATACAGAAGTATCAATGTATGTTTACAAATTGTATACACTCTAAAAAATTGTTCTTTTATTTTAAATGTTGTGAAAGATTTTATCCATGTCATCATCATAATAAAGATCATTTTTGCAATAAAAGTCAATCAAAAGATATTTCCTGGATAATGTGTAATTATTGTGGATTTGAGCAAGGAATTCATCAATATTGTTTCAAGTGTAAGAAAAAGTTGGCTGATTATTTTGTGACAAATGTAAGGTTTACGATGATTATTCGAAAGATCCTTATCATTGTGTAAAATGTGGTGTTTGTAGAGTTAAATTACATAGATCATTTCATTGTGATGCTTGTGGATGTGTTTCGAAAAGGAAAAGGAAAAAATCAATATCATATATGCAAAAACGAACATGTTCAATGTATGATATGTTTGGAAGATACATTAACTGGAATCGGAATGTTAAAATGGTCACAAGATACATTTGATTGTTTGACACAATTATTATTACAAGGATTTTCTAACTGTCCGATATGTAGAACTGATTTATTAACACCAACCATTCCAGATCAATTAAGCGAGCATCTTTAAGAACCTGGTACCAACCTGATACTAAAAACAAACAAAAAAACATGAATTTTTATTATATGAAGTATTATATAAAGTATTAGATGAAGTATTTACAATTTGATGTATATATAAAAGAATTTTAAGACATTTTTCTAAAAAATACTCCATTGTGTTGTTTAAATTAATTCTTGGTTGAGTTCTTTTAATTGATCAAGTAATTTTTTCTCCTTCAAACAGATCAATTAAAAATTGGTTTTCCCCATTTTTACATATTATATTTCCTTTATATGAATAAAATTGTCTATTAACAAAATACTTTTGTCCATTGTTGAAAGATAACATATTACAAGAGTATTCAGATTTTTTTCGATTTCGTTGTTGTATTCTTCAAGTTTTTTTGGTCGGACGTCTCTTTTTTCTATAC